TAATCCTAATTCTACCTCGAGAATTCTGCTGTTATATATTAGCAGTGCTCCTAAAATCTATATTAAGAAGATGCATCTAAGTCTTGAAAAGAAGTTGATCCACAGGCTTTCATTGCCTTCGATATCGAGGTTTTAATGATTCTTAATTTGTTGTAGAGATATCCTTATTATGTTTGATATTCTATTCGGTATTACATTTTTAGGCCTACTATAACTTGATCGTCTTTCTTGAATTGCAATTCCACTGGTATTCCTATTTAACGAATGAAATCTGGAATAAAGGTGCCGCTTACCCTTCACTTTAGGCGCTACCTTACTCTCTGGACCCGGTTGGTTTCAAAGAGCTTGTAAACCTGGCATTTCTGGAGCAAATAAATGTGAACAGCATTATTTGGCCGAGCAACCACAAATTAGTTAAAATGGGAGGAATATATGGGAACTTCCAGCATAGGCGACGTGATAGAAGTTTAAATTATTTCAAAACCGTTTTTCATTTATTGAGTGAAAAGTCTTCCCTGTCTTACCCTTCTTACAACTTAACCAATTCTTTCGCTTACTTTTATTATCTTTACATATATAATAATTGAAAATTTCACTATACATCTGTCCGCACGTTTTTTTAATTTCAAGTCTATGTAATCTACATAAGATACATCTCTAGAGGTATTGAGGATCACGGATACTACAAAGTATACCAACGCAAGATTTAAGTTTTCAGGTAGTGACCACAAAACAGTGATTTGTGAACTTCCACTGCCACTAAGTAACAATGCAGCTCATACCTTTACTTCAAAACAAGTAATATATAGGAACTATATTGGGGCAAACTGGGCTTTCGTAGAATTAACGCGAAGATCCTCTGAATAGGGCGAATACTTTACTACTGATGACTTCTCGAGAGCTCTGAGCATCTTCTACTAGAAATCAAACACATGCTTAGATGCTGTCATTCGACCCTATACACTAAAAGTTTCCTCACATAATAAGCCATTCATAAAACCAAAGAATCGTACGAATCTGATGAGATTCTCGACAAGTTACTTGAAACACCACAACTTTGGCACACTAGGATTAGTACTTAACACCCTTGGCTCCATCTCACAAGCCCCAGATTTGTGTGTGAGAGACGAAGAATGCATCGCAGTAGTCAATCCTGCTAGAGTATATGCTCTCACAGAAATCTTAAAGAAACGAATGAACCGCAAAAATCACAGCATTTCTCTCCTCATAGACAAAGGTGGGCTATGCACTAATTCTGCAGACATATGTGAACTATTCAACAAAACACTTTCAGGTAACTACCTTAAGCCTACAATCCTGTTACTCGGTACCCACCCTGCTACTAATATGGCAAAAATTGCATCTCTACTCATACCAAAAAAACTAGTACTGTAGAATTCATTTATGCTAACAGTAACCAAACTATAAGAACCCTCAGAAGCTGAAAAGGTTTTGGTACTCACGGTATATCATCCTATTTTTATTAAAAATATTCACGATGCCTTTAGAAACTCAAATTTACCCTGATGTATATGGAAAAGAACATTTGTTATACCTAAACACAGATGTGGCTCGTAAAGAGTAGTCGACAACTACGGAATGGTCAATATCACACCTATCGCATCTAGAATTATGAAGAGACTAGTCAAAGATAACTTAATCAAACATATGCTTAGCTGCACTATTATAAGTTCGAACCAACACTGACAGACGGCATTAGAGCTTGTCATCTACTTTGACATCTCTTAGGGATTTGAACGTGTCGACCATTTACTGCTAACAAATAAGCCGAACTCCTTAGGAATACGTGACCCATTATAAGGATGGTTAAATCATTCCTTAACAACAGGTCACAAATAGTTGAACTCGAGTATGTAACTTCCAAAACTAGCCCAATCACTCCTGGTGTAGTAAAAGGTGGTTTCATTTGAACGCTCCTATTTACACTATATATCAAAGACATGTGCGCTTGCTTATCACATGGGAAGTTATTCATATTTGCAGATGACCTGAAACTAGTTTAAACATTCCAGTGTGGCAATCTTGGGTACTTCCAGAATATTGTGCAGAAAGAACTAGATAAATTGACTGCTCAGTCGTTTTTGTCCAATCCACAATTCAATCTGAACAAATGCGGTTGGATCTGATTCGGCTCACCCTCAATCAACATGAAATTATTGCTTCAATCTACTAACCCAACCAAACTCCGAAGTGTTGTTGGTTTAGGCCTGAGGTACTCCAGTGATCTATCATTCGCTGAGCAGCTGGCATTACAGACTCGAAGGTCGAGGATGCTCTTAGGATGCATACTCAAGAACTTTCACGACAATGAAACCAAAACTACTGCAAAATATGTGTAAGGCGACTGCTACATTACTCTCCATTTATTTTTAACAGCACTCGAACATCCTTAAGTTCCTATTGATACGAAGACGCTCCGTACTGATAAAAACTGTGTGCTTTCTTCAACTTTAACTCTAAAACACCAGCATTGTTAGAAGTTATATTGTTTGGCAAATAAAGCGGAGAACATTAAAAGTCCATAAACAAATATTTTATACAAAATTATGAAGTACTTTTATTTGTTTTTGGTTGCCCTCTTCGAACTTGTTCACGATCGAACCATTCCCGCCTTCTAGTTGCCCACCAATGGCTACCAGTTCCAAAAACAAACATTGATGATTATCCTTCAGTGTTTTGGCTGTTATTAACCCGACATCCTTGAAAAGGCCACTATCACCATTTCAGGAAGCTGTATAACATCTTTTACAAACAGTACCTATGATCTAAAATGGTTTGCAAATAGTTTCCTACATTTTTATTTTTTTAGTTTTATTTTTGATTACAGCTTGATTTCACACCGTATTCTTGTTACAAGTATGCAATTTTCAGCATGCGATATCGGAAGCCCGAAATCCACAGGCCGACCATAGATATCAGGTGTGCGTCAGCGAGGGCACGAACCCCAGACCATGTGCATGGTCGGGGAGAGTCCTAACCATTGTGCAACCGACGCATGCCGATCAACTTACTCGTACGGTGTCAGACACGTCTCGTAAACCGCTAATGCCCAGCTCTTGCTACGCTCGGGCTCACGATGTTCCTTGAAGTTTCTCAGAAACGCTTAGTAATAACGGACGAAAAAACCAAAACACCAATTGGTGACTCGAGGATTCTTTATTGTTACACCAACATATAAACAATATTACAACTAAGGTCTGTGAACAAATATTACAATAATAAATCACAATATTACTTCTGACGGTTTATTGCTGACTTCTTTCTGAACAGCGACCGATGAGACGATGACTGTCGTATTGATGCCTCCGCGAAAATTGGGGAAGTTGGTTTTGAGCAAACAACCATGAATTGATCGTTCAATCTTCAACCACATTGATACTCCCCGGCAAAAAAGGGATCCAACCTTTTATTCCTTCACGACCAATACACGTTGACTAGGATGCCATTGCGAAAACCTGGGTCACACGGACAGAGCTGAAATGGAAAACAGACAGAAAAGCCAACACACCACAAACATACTCACAGCACAATCTCACACATCAATGACGGCCTCCGCCTTCCAGTTAAAGGTGTCCTCTTGACATCTTGCAACACAGTCTCCAATTGCTAGAATGACTCTTGCAGAATGCAATGTGACCATAGCACCACCTCACGATACTCTACGCACATCCTCTTAATTACTCACTACCAATTACCACTGCAATCGCTTGTCACTCATTCTGCCTCAGTTCTAGTAACGGTGGCGTATGCGAGCCTCAGTCGTTTACACTCTTTCTCCCCGGCGTGTCGGACCGCAGCTAACAATTATCTCCGTGTGCATTTCATTCTCACCAATAGCCTCCCCGGCGTATACGACCCATCTGCTGTCCTTAACATCAATCAATTCATTCACGGATGTAGAAGACTAGAAACAACTTCAGAAGTAATCACGACGAAAATTTTAACAAAATTATGCAATAACAACAAGATAAGAAAACAACAAGTAAACACAATGAATCCAAAATACACCAATTGATATGACACACCACACGTATATACAAACAGTACACACAAACTCGCAGTTCAAGTCTTGATGGAATTCCTTTGAAGAATCGCAGGACTTACACCAGTACGCCTACAACCCTTCACAGGTTGACGATTGTAAGTTGTGGAGTATCCGGACATACACAAGATTAACCAACAATTACAATAATTGGAACTCACACAATTATTTAACACAAACATATGTACAATCAACACATCAAATGTTGTGGATTCTGGCACGACAAACTACCCTTGAAGAACTGTAGGACTCACAGTAGTACGCCTAGATTCCTTCTCAGGTTGATGATCCAAGTGGAAGTCGTCCGGACACAAACAGAATTACCAACAGCTAGATGATAAATGATATCAATTCAGTATATACAATATGAACGTATGTACAAAATCACACACCAAGCACATTGGACTGCTCATTGATGCGCTGCCCTTTGAAGAATTGTAGGACTTACAGCAGTACGCCTACAACCCTTCTCGGGTTGATGCTCTAGGTTGGAAAATCGTTGCAGAGTTCATTAGCTGACTTCCTTCTATCAGCTATATCCTCAAATCTGAACGGCAACACGCTCATGTCATTGTTTCGTAGAATATAGATGACGAACAAACACACGACGTATCTCATCAACCAAGCGTAGAAACAGAGTAATTTACACCAAAGATAATAGCATTCAAATAGTAACTTGAAACTAGAAATGCCTTTATTCATGCAAGTCAATTTAACAATTACTCTCTCGTTTACACTTGGCTTATCCTCACTAAACTGACCATTGATATTCGTCCTTTCAAACGAACTGATACTAGCATAGTCATTGCACAAGATACATGAGTTCATGGGCGTCTGTTTCATTGTGGATGACAGCACCAACGACGACTGATTGATATCAGTTGATGAAGTTAGCGGTGGATCAGAAGCTTTTGTTGCTCGACTTTCAGAAAACTATCTAACTGAAGAACACCACCACTGCTGTATTTACTAGACCAGAGGAAGACCAATAACTCCCGAGTCCATCAGAACTATTGTCCAAGTGACTACGCGAGTAGACATCAACCTGTAAGAATGACACAATAATGCCTATGAGATCAACTTTGATGACTACGATTGTAAGTGACTAATTTATCTCAGACACACGTAAACTGATGGGAGTAGAAAGTCAATAAAAAAATATATAAATCTGAAAAAAGACAAAGCAAGCGAATGAAAACCAATGAGATATTTAAACTGTGAGGATAATATTAATATTATCAAGGTACATTTAGAGTAGTCGAAAAGACACTAAAGCTATTGGTTCATAAAGTCACGCTAATCGCATTCAGTCAGCCTACATTCTCCTAAAAGCTCAAAGGGACAATGGATTCATTGATTTTTGTCATCGCTATAATTTGATGGCATCGGGAAATAGTGGTTTTCGCGCATTAAGAACCTTCAAAGAAAATCGGCTATTTAAGTTTTTAATTGTCTTATTGAATGACTCTCATATTTTCTTCTCTAACGACCACTGTGTATGGACTGGTTGTAACCTGTTTCCATGATACATGGGAAAAATGATTTACACTTTTTATGCTTCCTATACTTACAATTCATGGTTAACAACAGATGTCCGACCTCAAAGCAGACTATACAGGGTAATTTGCACTTCTAATATACAACAAGGCATTTCAGCAGAACAAAAAATAGAGCTAGCGAATCCGAAATATAAAAAAAGCTCGTACCCATGAAGACATCATGTCACGATTAATGCTAGTACATTAATAAGTGAAATGACCAATGTAACCGTATGCCTGATAATCCTTAAACTGGAGGTCAATGAAGACCAATCCTACACCATCGTTTCACATTTGATACAAAGGAAACGCATACCACTTTAAGGTACCCAAACGAATGATTCTTGGTAGCATTTCTGAGAAAACATATATTGCCTGCGTATTCGAAGTCTGTTTGTAGCTTTATCAGGAGTAAAACACCGCATGGAAATTCGAGCCAAACAGAGCTACTCCCGATGATACACCAACAAACTTAAACATCATCCTAAACATAAGACAGAAATCTTGAATTATTTTATCAAATGCCTTTCCTATAGAGTTAAGAGGTTACCCAGTAAACTCCTGTGTTGTGGATGATTTGACAGTCACAAAATACACAAGATATTGTTTTGTAAATAAAAATTTTTGAAAAGTTGAATCAGAACTTCGAGTGACAGTCAGATGGAAAACCCAATTATTAGTTGATGCTCTGATATGCTACAAAAACACCCGTTCTATGATAGGTGTACTGTGTGGACTAGCAAACTTTTGTGGAGTTATGAGCATAGTTTTAACGGATGGTATCTATGGACAAGGAGTAATTCATACTCTAAATTTACCTACTTCACTACAACCAAGGGCAGAAACTAGCAGTTGAAAAAAAACATATACTTCTTCACATCAATGAATTGGGACAACTAAGAACATCAATCCCACTGAGAAAATGTGGAAATCTTAAAAAGAGAAGACACTAAGAATGCCAGGGATGCATGTATAGATTTAATATGGGTCGTGTTGACAATAGAATTAATGCTGTGTGCCTATGAAATGCTTCAGTGTGTAGTTACAAACGACACAATTTGAACAAAAAGAATATTACAATTACTTTATCAGACACCATAAAGCAAGCATAGAAACCAACTCCGAATTGACCAATAATATCCACAGATTTAGGATTCTCCTTGTCTCCAGCCAGATTAGAGACAAATTCTCGACTACCTGAACGGGCTATTGTTCCAAGATTCTTTTCTAGTTCATTTCTCAACATTCCGATTCCTGTATCTTGGATGACAAGGATTTTTTTCGTCTCATCTGTCTTGATGTGTATTTCTAAAGGGGAGTCATTGGAAGTGGACTGAACTTGACTAGAAAGACGAAGTAACTTTAAGCGCTCAATAGCATCGCTGGCATTTGAAATCAACTCACGCACAAACACCTTAGGACAAAATTAAAGAAAACACAAGAAATATTTAGAACAAAACCACAAATTTATCAAGCCATAACATAATACCTATCGCTAGGAAACCGAAGACAGTTATGTCAGTGAATCATTCTACTGTTCATTCGATAATAATAGCATTAACAATAATAATAACTTACAGTCTGTCAAAAGACGAAGATCAATTAACTGAAGTGTAGTACCTATAACCGTAGTTGATATTTACGCAATTTTAAAAGTATAGGTTTGAAGTGAAGTATGTAGATTTCAATAAGTTCAACAACCATATAATCGTTGAAGATGAAGGTTGAAGATGAGGCAGTAACTCATCGGAGAAGACATTGCGAAATGGTCGCGCTACGTCGTGAATTGGCAAAAGTTAGAATTCAAAGACCATTGGATCGGGTCCCAGTGGCTCAATGGTCGACGAGCTCGCCTTGTAACCAGAAAGTTCTGGTTTAGATCCCTGGCGGCGGATGCGTACTGTGAAGAGCCCAAACAAGGACGAAACAGGTGTCCAGTACTCCCAGGTTTTCCAGTGGTTCTCTAAATGATGTCAGCTCATGATGAAATCCCCATATAATCGTTCTTCAAACCGAAATATATTGGGAAGGATCAATAGTAGCTTTACTTGGCCTAAAGGCTGAGTAATTAAACCATACTACTTATATAGGCTCTAAATGAGTAGGACAGCCGTTCAATAATTAAGTCATCCAAATCTAGCTAGGTAGCACTATAGCAGTCATCAATAAGTAGTTTTTCGATTACTATCGTAAAAAACTGCTTTAACAGTACAAGTCTATGAAAAAGTATATAAATACAAGTTACCACACTTCGGGAAAGCATATATAGAAGATAAAGACGTGGAGGAGGGAGGATAATCAAATAAAGGCTAAAGAAAACTTTTAGAATGTGAAAGATGACCTCTCTGTCTGAATTGGTGATGCTTTTTGTTCTCATCAACCGGAATCGCTACCTACACAACACACAATCTCAAATCTTATTATTACTTATCATATTGCCTTACCTAGCAACTGGATCGAGACAGTTTTGAACGAAAACCTAAAGCTTCTTCAGATGCCGTACTATCAGTAGTCACGTCCTGACTGTAAAGTAGGACAAAACCAACAGCTAGCACATATTCCCTTTACAAAGTAATTACATATTACGCCTGTGCCTGGTAAATATTAAATCATCAGGTGTCACATATTGAAATAAAACTCACCTACTTAATACAAGAATATATGCAAGATGAGTAACAATGAGTTAAGGTCTGTATTAGTACAATTTTATTTCTCATATTATTGTTTTATTACTTTGTGTAGTGTGTTTCTTGGTTCCAATAAGATGAGATTCTTTTATATATGTAGATTAAAAAAATACTTCACTACCAATCACATATAGAAGTTCAAAAGTACGTTCAAATGTTTCCTTCAGTAACTAAACTCAATAAAAACAAGACAAGAGTCATATAGGCATCCAAAACACACTTTTAAATTTACATCAATAGTAGCCACTAACCTCTTTGTCTGAGTATAAAGATTTTGCAACTATTTCCAGTAGCTTTTGAGTTTCTGCTTGGAAACCTACTTTTACTCTAGGACCACAGCTCCTTTCTTTGTCATCAATAGTAGTAGTGCTCTGTTCAGTATTTACATCCTCGGATGTTTTAAAAGCAGTACTGTATGAGAATTTCAGTTGAAATAATGCGGGGTTATACAAGGTTCTCGCATTCAGCTGATAAGTCCGTAGAACTTGAGCTGAACTGGTAGCCAAGGGAATATGACGTAAGATTCTACACAGTATCGACATGTTAAACGATTACTTGCGAATAACTCGTTATTTCCACAAATTCTGAAATAAACGTTTGAGGCAGTCATTATTAATAAACATGACTTCACGACTGAGATAATTTAAGAAAATAGATGCAAACTACCTTAAGATAGCCACAACAATGCAAAATACAAAAATCCCATAACTAAGCATATATTAATTCAAAAGTACCTGAAACCATGAGACAGAAAGCAATCCAGTTAGTGTGCCATAATCATCAAAGTAAGAAAAGTCTAATAAATCTGCACTTTTTAATTTTTTTAGAGACGATTTCTTGTTTAGGAATATTTGATGCGAATACAGTAGAACAAGTATCCTAACGAAATCAAGTTATGTAGAAGCAATGAACGCTAACCTGAATGATTAAAATAAATCTTTGCGATCTCACTGAAAACAAAACCAGTTTTCCACTAAGGATATTAAATGATCAAGCTAAACTCCTCGCCTATAGGGGTGCTTACAACACCCTGAGTAGCATTCTCCGGAAAAAAGATTTCGGCTAAAGGACGATTCTTCGTCTTTTTAGCATCGAATAAACGTGACAATGCTTTATACTGATTACAGTTGTCATTTAACACTGCATTCCTTTGACCCCATAATGTCAAGCTCTGGATGTTAATAGATTCAGCGATTTCGTAGTAGGCAATTTTTACAAGCTTGAGGCTAAATACATAAATTGATGAATCACCAGTGATGGAGTGAGGCGCAGACGATACTCCTTCCTACTTTTCTCTATTCGACACAGCTTATTTCAGAATCTAGCTCCACACTGACGGTAATACTTCAGGACATTAAATACCAACAATCGAAATCAATACCCCTTTTCACAAAATGAGGGGAATGAAAATATCAACAGAAATCTCCAGATAGTGGCGTCCCTTGATAAACATGTGAGTTAACGGCTCAAATTCAATCATTTCGATGAAGTTATGGGAAAGTGAGACAATAATAAGACGGTATTTTAGTGAACTAAACGCATGTTGATTCCTCCACATAACTTTTTGAATGTTAGCTCAGATCACAGTACGTTGTATCAATACAGTGAAGCAGAAGTACTTCAAACTGGGAAGTAAGTACTGAATATTAACCCAAATGTCTAGTTATTCTCTGAAGTAAAATTGCAGTTGGACCATACACCACAGGCTGAATTATTCCCATTCACTTAAAATCCCGGTATTTGTCATGTTAAGCAATAAAAAATTATGCTACCTGACCTTTACCTTGAAAAAAGACAAAAATTACCAGTAAATGGAGTACTATCTCGGTAGAAATTTGCCACTTACGGTGTCTTTTATCGCAGTTATTTGCTTCCTGAAAACTTTTGCCATATATTAACGAACTAATGCGAGTTTTTTAACTCACCATCTTTAAGGTGTGCAAACGACATTAGGACTTTGAAAACATGTAATCATGAAGCTAACTCTCCAAACTGATTAGGACGAACTAACTTAGTACTTTAAACGGTGGAATTTGAAAATGTTTGACGGTGCACTTTAGTCACCGGTACTACTTCATATACTCTATGTATGCAGCAGGGTTGCGTTATGAACCCGTGATTTAGTTGTAACCAGTCATAACATTGTAATGCAGGCGAAACCAAAGCCTTCTAAAAGCTGTCGTCGCCTTGTGGGGTATCCATATGTTCGGGGAAGAACATCTAGAGTACTTTATAAAAGTGAGAGTATGATTTATCTTAGGGACTGAACAGACGATGCCACTATCAATTTCATGGAGGGTGAATGTCACGGAAATTGGAAAAGGTTATAACTAGGACAGTAAAAGCAGACACACCTCCCCTGAGAAAAGAGAGCTCAAAGATGTTCTTAAACCACGGCCAAGGGACCCGAATAGGGAGGTCAAAAACATAGTATCACAGTTACGGATATATCCGTAACTTACTATGATATATCATCCCTCTATGTGAAGGCTTTCATGGAGAAACAAGATTTCTTTATCGATACTCAAAAAGAACACAGGCTACCTAGTCCACTGTCTATTTTTACACGAAGACAGTTATTCGAAAATCTGGAGCGAATGATGGGAAAATGGAGATATTATGTATATAAAGATTTTCACACTGAACTGTTGATAAATCAATGGCAAATCAACTGCTCTATCTTATAATCACTAACAGACAGACGGGCTGCACAATCCGAAGACGACCAAGCAAGTGATCATGTCAGTTAGCAATCGAATCACACTGTACTTTAATACCTTTTCGTGGATCACGTTAAACGGGCATTGTTTATACGGTCAAAACATTGCTTTAATCTGTATTTAAAACAAATAAATTAGAAACTCACTTCAACTGCCCCGAAGTCACACTATAAGCTACACTGACCGAAGACAACACGCCCTTGAGTGGACAGTCGACCTTGAAAACACTAAAACATATCCAGTGTCGTTTTTACGAATTGAATTCTTTGTGCTCTCTTACTGACTGCTGCATATTGAATGTACCTGATCTTCAGTAGACTTCTGTGTAATGCCTCTCGTTCTTCGCCTGTTGTAGCTTGTATAAATCAAAGGGGAATACAGCTGGGGTAGATTAGGTGTTTTTGTAGTATGTGATGTGTTAAGACCGTATAGGTGATGCAAATTGAGGTGATCCTTCCAACCGCCAGCTAGGTGATGTGGCGGAAGTGAGATATAATAATAAAAGATGTCTAGCGGTAAATGATTACCCAAAATTATTGGCCAAAGAATTCATCAATGGACGTTGGATGCTGACCCTCAACCTTCAAGTCAACTTGTTTAGCTGAAGGCTTCCAGTCTAGCGTTCACGCTCTTCGGCACTCCATCGTGTCGCGTTTGGTCGTTTTTGCACGAAACCTCGTTAGCTAAGGAGTCAAACTGACAACAAGATTTGGTCTCAACATATATTTCGTAATTCTTACAATAAATTCTGATGTTGTGCTTTGCCTTCGGTCTGCGCAGAACGAATGCTATAGAAGTTATGGGTATTAATAATAGTAAGCATATATATATTTATTGTTATCTATGTGGAACACACCAGTTGTACATGCATGGATAAGTATTATTTAAATTACATAAATTTGGTTTACGGTGAAATTACATGATAGCTGTCCATTTTGAAATCAGTTTGTGGGAGCAACATGCTAACTAGTCACTCAATGGAGCACATTAAGAAACTTAGACATGTTGTCTTCGCATTAACAAAAACCGCAAATATGTGTTGGATTGATTAAAAATATTTGGGGAAAAAATAAAGCTTAAAGTCAATTCCTCCATAAAACTTCTGTGTGTGTGTGGCATCGTGTCAATGTAGTTTAAGATTTAACGATCAATTCATGGTTGTTTGCTCAAACCCAACTCTATATTTTGGGGGGAGTCATCGATGCTACAGTCATCGTCTCATCATTCGCTGTTCGTTGGAAGACAGAGAAAAACTATCAGAAGTATTATCGTCATTTATTGTTACGACATTTATTCTTGGACTTGTGTACAATAACCTAATGGTTGGCTCCGTATTGGTGCAAGAATAAAGGCTTCTTGAGTCAAAAATTTGTGTTCTGGCTTTTTTTGCGTTGGTTATTGAGCATAGTTCCTGAATGTCTTCCAAGGACAGTGTGAAGTCCAGCGTAGCTAGACCTGGACAATGACACATCGTATCTTGTTCTTGATTTATATCCAAATTGGGTTTTAATTTTAAATCAGTGATGTATTGGCATAATTTTGTCAGAATTTTCGTCAAAAGTAACATCAGAAGTGAATTGTACTCTGTGTGGAACAATATTGGACATTGTCGGGGAGATCTGTCTTCCTACGCTGACGTAAGCCAAAACGGCCATTTGTCGCTGAACTATTGTTCCGTATGTCAATGTAGTTGAAGATTGAACGATCAATTCATGGTTGTTTGCTCAAAACCAACTTCCCCAATTTTCGCGGAGGCATCAATACGACAGTCATCGTCTCATCGGTCGCTGTTCAGAAAGAAGTCAGCAATAAACCGTCAGAAGTAATATTGTGATTTATTATTGTAATATTTGTTCACAGACCTTAGTTGTAACATTGTTTATATGTTGGTGTAACAATAAAGAATCCTCGAGTCACCAATTGGTGTTTTGGTTTTTTCGTCCGTTATTACTAAGCGTTTCTGAGAAACTTCAAGGAACATCGTGAGCCCGAGCGTAGCAAGAGCTGGGCATTAGCGGTTTACGAGACGTGACCGACAGTTTCTGACGGTAGAAACAGATTCTGGCGGATTCAGACAGTTGGTGAAAGTTTGGATAGTCGCCGTTCATCTTTCCTGGTGCCGGTCAAGTCCTCTTTGAACAAGCAATATCTGGAACGTTTTTGGAATTGGGTCAAGTTCAACAATGCCTGGGTCAAAGAAGGGAAAGAGCGACTTGGATACAAACAGGAAAGTAAGTCATAGTGACTTGTCTGTTAATTGTAACGATGTGTCTGATGTTAAGCATGACATGGTTGATATAACTCATATAACTGTAAACACTGTGCGATTTATCAAAATAAAAATCTTATCTATAATGGAATGCTTATCCATGCCTGTATATTTGGTGTGTCCTACACCGGTAGGAAAAAATGTGTATTTTATTAAAGCATTATTATTAATTATGATTTCTAATCGTATATGTAATTTGTCATATTGATGATGCCTGTAAACTGGCGTCTCTCATGTACAAAATGAGAATATGCTATTATTATTATAAGACAAATTTGGTTTCTCCTCGCAAATCCTAAAAGGTTTTATAACTTCACTCTGACTAGTAATACCTTGTAAACTTGTAGGGTCAGAACTCCACTCTGAAGCAGTAAATCTATTCTGTGACACTCTATTCAACAATGGCTTACCAGTTGCAACTACAGACTTCTTCATCGCACCGTTATCGTCACACAATTCGGAGTAAGGCCTGGAGTTTACATTTAGCTTATCACTGAACTTGCTCACTGGTTCACAGTTCACCTTTGTATGCACCTCTTGCAAACGTGTAAAACACAACCGTGTTTGTCTTGCATCTTGTAACTTATCTGTTGAGAATATACTACGAAACCTGTTACACTCACTAGGTCTATATGCATTACTAGACATCATGGAGCCTTCTCGATATCCACCTCTCTGAGGCCTATTCGTCATCAATGATTGCATTTTGCTCTCAGACTGCTCTATTCTAAGGGTGAGATCCAATATACTGGCAAACTTGCTCATAGATTGATTGACACTATCTTTTACTAGTTTCAGGATATCATCAAATTTTGGATCGATATCCTCTCCCTCCATACGGGAGCTTATCTTCACCCACTTCCTTTGCAGTCGAGTAGGTAGGCGTCTCGCTATTACTTCTAGTGTAAAACTCGAGTTGAGGTCACTCATGCAATTCATAGAAATCAAGGTATTCTTATAAGTCATAAGATTATCTAAAAGCTCAGTAAGTGGCTTGGAGTCATCTTGAAGTTGACAGCCGTTACATTTGACAGCTTCGTATACGTTCCTTACAATCATTGAAGGTCTTCCAAACGTTTGACGTAATATGCTCATAGCCTCGTCGTAGCCCTCTTTTGGCTTCATAAACTTACAACACTGTATAGCTCTTGAAGCATCTCCAGTGCAATACCTCATCAAATACCTTAACTTCATTTCATCATCTAATAAAAAACCACTCAACATGATCACAAACTCCTTTACCAATTGTAAATAATCAGCCGGGTTTCCACCAAAACAACGCGGTTCAAATTTAGGGAGTGTGATGTTCCTGTTATCCCTGAACGGCGAAACAGTAACATCAAACATGTCATGCTTAACATCAGACACATCGTTACAATTAACAGACAAGTCACTATGACTTACTTTCCTGTTTGTATCCAAGTCGGTCTTTCCCTTCTTTGACCCAGGCATTGTTGAACTTGACCCAATTCCAAAAACGTTCCAGATATTGCTTGTTCAAAGAGGACTTGACCGGCACCAGGAAAGATGAACGGCGACTATCCAAACTTTCACCAACTGTCTGAATCCGCCAGAATCTGTTTCTACCGTCAGAAACTGTCGGTCACGTCTCGTAAACCGCTAATGCCCAGCTCTTGCTACGCTCGGGCTCACGATGTTCCTTGAAGTTTCTCAGAAACGCTTAGTAATAACGGACGAAAAAACCAAAACACCAATTGGTGACTCGAGGATTCTTTATTGTTACACCAACATATAAACAATGTTACAACTAAGGTCTGTGAACAAATATTACAATAATAAATCACAATATTACTTCTGACGGTTTATTGCTGACTTCTTTCTGAACAGCGACCGATGAGACGATGACTGTCGTATTGATGCCTCCGCGAAAATTGGGGAAGTTGGTTTTGAGCAAACAACCATGAATTGATCGTTCAATCTTCAACTACATTGACATACGGAACAATAGTTCAGCGACAAATGGCCGTTTTGGCTTACGTCAGCGTAGGAAGACAGATCTCCCCGACAATGTCCAATATTGTTCCACACAGAGTACAATTCACTTCTGATGTTACTTTTGACGAAAATTCTGACAAAATTATGCCAATACATCACTGATTTAAAATTAAAACCCAATTTGGATATAAATCAAGAACAAGATACGATGTGTCATTGTCCAGGTCTAGCTACGCTGGACTTCACACTGTCCTTGGAAGACATTCAGGAACTATGCTCAATAACCAACGCAAAAAAAGCCAGAACACAAATTTTTGACTCAAGAAGCCTTTATTCTTGCACCAATACGGAGCCAACCATTAGGTTATTGTACACAAGTCCAAGAATAAATGTCGTAACAATAAATGACGATAATACTTCTGATAGTTTTTCTCTGTCTTCCAACGAACAGCGAATGATGAGACGATGACTGTAGCATCGATGACTCCCCCCAAAATATAGAGTTGGGTTTGAGCAAACAACCATGAATTGATCGTTAAATCTTAAACTACATTGACACGATGCCACACACACACAGAAGTTTTATGGAGGAATTGACTTTAAGCTTTATTTTTTCCCCAAATATTTTTAATCAATCCAACACATATTTGCGGTTTTTGTTAATGCGAAGACAACATGTCTAAGTTTCTTAATGTGCTCCATTGAGTGACTAGTTAGCATGTTGCTCCCACAAACTGATTTCAAAATGGACAGCTATCATGTAATTTCACCGTAAACCAAATTTATGTAATTTAAATAATACTTATCCATGCATGTACAACTGGTGTGTTCCACATAGATAACAATAAATATATATATGCTTACTATTATTAATACCCATAACTTCTATAGCATTCGTTCTGCGCAGACCGAAGGCAAAGCACAACATCAGAATTTATTGTAAGAATTACGAAATATATGTTGAGACCAAATCTTGTTGTCAGTTTGACTCCTTAGCTAACGAGGTTTCGTGCAAAAACGACCAAACGCGACACGATGGAGTGCCGAAGAGCGTGAACGCTAGACTGGAAGCCTTCAGCTAAACAAGTTGACTTGAAGGTTGAGGGTCAGCATCCAACGTCCATTGATGAATTCTTTGGCCAATAATTTTGGGTAATCATTTACCGCTAGACATCTTTTATTATTATATCTCACTTCCGCCACATCACCTAGCTGGCGGTTGGAAGGATCACCTCAATTTGCATCACCTATACGGTCTTAACACATCACATACTACAAAAACACCTAATCTACCCCAGCTGTATTCCCCTTTGATTTATACAAGCTACAACAGGCGAAGAACGAGAGGCATTACACAGAAGTCTACTGAAGATCAGGTACATTCAATATGCAGCAGTCAGTAAGAGAGCACAAAGAATTCAATTCGTAAAAACGACACTGGATATGTTTTAGTGTTTTCAAGGTCGACTGTCCACTCAAGGGCGTGTTGTCTTCGGTCAGTGTAGCTTATAGTGTGACGGCAATGGATAAAGGCACACACGGGGTGTCGTTATGTGTTATCGCGATGTTGTGTTCGGGTTGTTCTACGTTGTTTTCTGGTGTTTTTTCAACTGAAATACATTATAAATACCATATTTTAACGAAAAAATTTAGAAAAATGGTGGAAAGTAGACACTTTCAGCAGTTTGAGTGAACATGGATCTGTCATTGAATTTCGTTATTTCTTTCCATGTGGAATGTTAAAACTCTGTGTAAATTGTTGATTACGTTAAGGAAAACGAAATCAATTAGGAAATTGATGCATATTTTGCGAAATTCTGAAAGGGTGTTTTGAATCTCTGAGATATGAAAACTTGGTAACACTCAGAAGAGTCTACAGCTATAAAGGAGTGTTAGTTGATTTATTCGCAAGATAACAGTTAATAAACAAATTTTTTTAAATAGTTACTTTGGTTTGGAGTATTTTCGTGTTGCTAATTATTTGTTAAAGGATGTCATACTATTGTTGATTTGCAGGTTACAATTGTAATTTACGGAGTGATTCACTTTATTTGGAGGCTTTAATGAAGTGCAATTGAAGAATTTGCGCGTTATCGTTGGAATCTTTGTGATATGATAAAATTATTTATCAAAATAAATATCTTTTTAATGTTTTAACGGTGTTCTTTAAAGAATTCACTACTACTTCCCTTTTGCTTGTCGAAGGAATAGTGATGTAGCCGGTTTTGGAATGCGTAGTGATTTAATCTGAAAGAGTGATAATTTACGCAACATAAGAATACTAGGATTTTCTTCAATAGGATATACCTATAACGCGTTATTTTCGATGTACGTAGCCGCCCTACATTTGTTATTATGTATACGTAGTAATCGCAAAACAAACCTAAGCTCAACGTACATTTTTTCGCAAGCCCTGATGAAAGATAATCTTTTACGCAGCCGTATTGAGTGTAACTGAAACATTTCATGGGAGGCTTGATGACGCACTGAGGAAATAATAACGGTTTACGATTATCACGCATTTCACACAAGTATTACTACGTTGCCTATCAACTTCGTTAACTATGCAATGTCCTCGAAATGATAATTAAGAGAGATACATGTAGTCAACATAAATGCATATATTTACAAAATAAAAACAGTTAAACAGTACATATTCATGTTAAAAAGGGTGGAAAAAAATCACAGTTGTAGATTTTTTATGGGTACATGATTGTCAAATTAAAGTCCACTAATCGTTTAATCCACAATATGTGGATCAGTTTCCCTTAGATGATTGTGACACTGGACCAGTCTTTACAGCTTTCAGCACCACCTGATCCTTCAGAAGAAACTGGTTATGACCTTTCCATGCAAAGATTGAGATTGTATTCCTTTGACCACCTCCGGCCACACTGAGAAATATCTAAGGATATATACATATCAGATGAATTAATCTTACCTCAGGTGAACAATCCCTAATCTTAGCAACAATGAATATGTGAACAAGGGAGGGAACAATAGTAGAATCGGTATGAACAGTCCATATATCCCATAATAAACTTAAAGAATCCTAGAACTTCCGATTTATCTTTCACAGTTTGTTTTCTGCAAAATGCAAATGTTACACAAATGCCTCTCCTCTCTGTCCGTTACAATCAACTGAAAAAGACTAAATCTTCAAACTTTATACTTCTTTGATTAAGTTACCCAATAATATTCTCTTTTTTAGTGGGTCCACATGCATATCACATCTGTAGAATCAATACATGCGTTAACTTGTGTCCTTAAGCTGAAAAAATGTAATGTTTATGCGACTTTTATTACTATCATTTCAAAGCCCGCCTTAGTAACGTGAGCTACGTATTAGCCGCAGCGTTTACGCAAAGTAAAATCTACCAATCACAGTATGCATATGTGACCTTGAGGTGCTCAGCCTCTCCATAAGGTCGTGTGTGCCTTTATCCATTGCCTAGTGTGACTTCGGGGCAGTTGAAGTGAGTTTCTAATTTATTTGTTTTAAATACAGATTAAAGCAATGTTTTGACCGTATAAACAATGCCCGTTTAACGTGATCCACGAAAAGGTATTAAAGTACAGTGTGATTCGATTGCTAACTGACATGATCACTTGCTTGGTCGTCTTCGGATTGTGCAGCCCGTCTGTCTGTTAGTGATTATAAGATAGAGCAGTTGATTTGCCATTGATTTATCAACAGTTCAGTGTGAAAATCTTTATATACATAATATCTCCATTTTCCCATCATTCGCTCCAGATTTTCGAATAACTGTCTTCGTGTAAAAATAGACAGTGGACTAGGTAGCCTGTGTTCTTTTTGAGTATCGATAAAGAAATCTTGTTTCTCCATGAAAGCCTTCACATAGAGGGATGATATATCATAGTAAGTTACGGATATATCCGTAACTGTGATACTATGTTTTTGACCTCCCTATTCGGGTCCCTTGGCCGTGGTTTAAGAACATCTTTGAGCTCTCTTTTCTCAGGGGAGGTGTGTCTGCTTTTACTGTCCTAGTTATAACCTTTTCCAATTTCCGTGACATTCACCCTCCATGAAATTGATAGTGGCATCGTCTGTTCAGTCCCTAAGATAAATCATACTCTCACTTTTATAAAGTACTCTAGATGTTCTTCCCCGAACATATGGATACCCCACAAGGCGACGACAGCTTTTAGAAGGCTTTGGTTTCGCCTGCATTACAATGTTATGACTGGTTACAACTAAATCACGGGTTCATAACGCAACCCTGCTGCATACATAGAGTATATGAAGTAGTACCGGTGACTAAAGTGCACCGTCAAACATTTTCAAATTCCACCGTTTAAAGTACTAAGTTAGTTCGTCCTAATCAGTTTGGAGAGTTAGCTTCATGATTACATGTTTTCAAAGTCCTAATGTCGTTTGCACACCTTAAAGATGGTGAGTTAAAAAACTCGCATTAGTTCGTTAATATATGGCAAAAGTTTTCAGGAAGCAAATAACTGCGATAAAAGACACCGTAAGTGGCAAATTTCTACCGAGATAGTACTCCATTTACTGGTAATTTTTGTCTTTTTTCAAGGTAAAGGTCAGGTAGCATAATTTTTTATTGCTTAACATGACAAATACCGGGATTTTAAGTGAATGGGAATAATTCAGCCTGTGGTGTATGGTCCAACTGCAATTTTACTTCAGAGAATAACTAGACATTTGGGTTAATATTCAGTACTTACTTCCCAGTTTGAAGTACTTCTGCTTCACTGTATTGATACAACGTACTGTGATCTGAGCTAACATTCAAAAAGTTATGTGGAGGAATCAACATGCGTTTAGTTCACTAAAATACCGTCTTATTATTGTCTCACTTTCCCATAACTTCATCGAAATGATTGAATTTGAGCCGTTAACTCACATGTTTATCAAGGGACGCCACTATCTGGAGATTTCTGTTGATATTTTCATTCCCCTCATTTTGTGAAAAGGGGTATTGATTTCGATTGTTGGTATTTAATGTCCTGAAGTATTACCGTCAGTGTGGAGCTAGATTCTGAAATAAGCTGTGTCGAATAGAGAAAAGTAGGAAGGAGTATCGTCTGCGCCTCACTCCATCACTGGTGATTCATCAATTTATGTATTTAGCCTCAAGCTTGTAAAAATTGCCTACTACGAAATCGCTGAATCTATTAACATCCAGAGCTTGACATTATGGGGTCAAAGGAATGCAGTGTTAAATGACAACTGTAATCAGTATAAAGCATTGTCACGTTTATTCGATGCTAAAAAGACGAAGAATCGTCCTTTAGCCGAAATCTTTTTTCCGGAGAATGCTACTCAGGGTGTTGTAAGCACCCCTATAGGCGAGGAGTTTAGCTTGATCATTTAATATCCTTAGTGGAAAACTGGTTTTGTTTTCAGTGAGATCGCAAAGATTTATTTTAATCATTCAGGTTAGCGTTCATTGCTTCTACATAACTTGATTTCGTTAGGATACTTGTTCTACTGTATTCGCATCAAATATTCCTAAACAAGAAATCGTCTCTAAAAAAATTAAAAAGTGCAGATTTATTAGACTTTTCTTACTTTGATGATTATGGCACACTAACTGGATCGCTTTCTGTCTCATGGTTTCAGGTACTTTTGAATTAATATATGCTTAGTTATGTGATTTTTGTATTTTGCATTGTTGTGGCTATCTTAAGGTAGTTTGCATCTATTTTCTTAAATTATCTCAGTCGTGAAGTCATGTTTATTAATAATGACTGCCTCAAACGTTTATTTCAGAATTTGTGGAAATAACGAGTTATTCGCAAGTAATCGTTTAACATGTCGATACTGTGTAGAATCTTACGTCATATTCCCTTGGCTACCAGTTCAGCTCAAGTTCTACGGACTTATCAGCTGAATGCGAGAACCTTGTATAACCCCGCATTATTTCAACTGAAATTCTCATACAGTACTGCTTTTAAAACATCCGAGGATGTAAATACTGAACAGAGCACTACTACTATTGATGACAAAGAAAGGAGCTGTGGTCCTAGAGTAAAAGTAGGTTTCCAAGCAGAAACTCAAAAGCTACTGGAAATAGTTGCAAAATCTTTATACTCAGACAAAGAGGTTAGTGGCTACTATTGATGTAAATTTAAAAGTGTGTTTTGGATGCCTATATGACTCTTGTCTTGTTTTTATTGAGTTTAGTTACTGAAGGAAACATTTGAACGTACTTTTGAACTTCTATATGTGATTGGTAGTGAAGTATTTTTTTAATCTACATATATAAAAGAATCTCATCTTATTGGAACCAAGAAACACACTACACAAAGTAATAAAACAATAATATGAGAAATAAAATTGTACTAATACAGACCTTAACTCATTGTTACTCATCTTGCATATATTCTTGTATTAAGTAGGTGAGTTTTATTTCAATATGTGACACCTGATGATTTAATATTTACCAGGCACAGGCGTAATATGTAATTACTTTGTAAAGGGAATATGTGCTAGCTGTTGGTTTTGTCCTACTTTACAGTCAGGACGTGACTACTGATAGTACGGCATCTGAAGAAGCTTTAGGTTTTCGTTCAAAACTGTCTCGATCCAGTTGCTAGGTAAGGCAATATGATAAGTAATAATAAGATTTGAGATTGTGTGTTGTGTAGGTAGCAATTCCGGTTGATGAGAACAAAAAGCATCACCAATTCAGACAGAGAGGTCATCTTTCACATTCTAAAAGTTTTCTTTAGCCTTTATTTGATTATCCTCCCTCCTCCACGTCTTTATCTTCTATATATGCTTTCCCGAAGTGTGGTAACTTGTATTTATATACTTTTTCATAGACTTGTACTGTTAAAGCAGTTTTTTACGATAGTAATCGAAAAACTACTTATTGATGACTGCTATAGTGCTACCTAGCTAGATTTGGATGACTTAATTATTGAACGGCTGTCCTACTCATTTAGAGCCTATATAAGTAGTATGGTTTAATTACTCAGCCTTTAGGCCAAGTAAAGCTACTATTGATCCTTCCTAATATATTTCGGTTTGAAGAACGATTATATGGGGATTTCATCATGAGCTGACATCATTTAGAGAACCACTGGAAAACCTGGGAGTACTGGACACCTGTTTCGTCCTTGTTTGGGCTCTTCACAGTACGCATCCGCCGCCAGGGATCTAAACCAGAACTTTCTGGTTACAAGGCGAGCTCGTCGACCATTGAGCCACTGGGACCCGATCCAATGGTCTTTGAATTCTAACTTTTGCCAATTCACGACGTAGCGCGACCATTTCGCAATGTCTTCTCCGATGAGTTACTGCCTCATCTTCAACCTTCATCTTCAACGATTATATGGTTGTTGAACTTATTGAAATCTACATACTTCACTTCAAACCTATACTTTTAAAATTGCGTAAATATCAACTACGGTTATAGGTACTACACTTCAGTTAATTGATCTTCGTCTTTTGACAGACTGTAAGTTATTATTATTGTTAATGCTATTATTATCGAATGAACAGTAGAATGATTCACTGACATAACTGTCTTCGGTTTCCTAGCGATAGGTATTATGTTATGGCTTGATAAATTTGTGGTTTTGTTCTAAATATTTCTTGTGTTTTCTTTAATTTTGTCCTAAGGTGTTTGTGCGTGAGTTGATTTCAAATGCCAGCGATGCTATTGAGCGCTTAAAGTTACTTCGTCTTTCTAGTCAAGTTCAGTCCACTTCCAATGACTCCCCTTTAGAAATACACATCAAGACAGATGAGACGAAAAAAATCCTTGTCATCCAAGATACAGGAATCGGAATGTTGAGAAATGAACTAGAAAAGAATCTTGGAACAATAGCCCGTTCAGGTAGTCGAGAATTTGTCTCTAATCTGGCTGGAGACAAGGAGAATCCTAAATCTGTGGATATTATTGGTCAATTCGGAGTTGGTTTCTATGCTTGCTTTATGGTGTCTGATAAAGTAATTGTAATATTCTTTTTGTTCAAATTGTGTCGTTTGTAACTACACACTGAAGCATTTCATAGGCACACAGCATTAATTCTATTGTCAACACGACCCATATTAAATCTATACATGCATCCCTGGCATTCTTAGTGTCTTCTCTTTTTAAGATTTCCACATTTTCTCAGTGGGATTGATGTTCTTAGTTGTCCCAATTCATTGATGTGAAGAAGTATATGTTTTTTTTCAACTGCTAGTTTCTGACCTTGGTTGTAGTGAAGTAGGTAAATTTAGAGTATGAATTACTCCTTGTCCATAGATACCATCCGTTAAAACTATGCTCATAACTCCACAAAAGTTTGCTAGTCCACACAGTACACCTATCATAGAACGGGTGTTTTTGTAGCATATCAGAGCATCAACTAATAATTGGGTTTTCCATCTGACTGTCACTCGAAGTTCTGATTCAACTTTTCAAAAATTTTTATTTACAAAACAATATCTTGTGTATTTTGTGACTGTCAAATCATCCACAACACAGGAGTTTACTGGGTAACCTCTTAACTCTATAGGAAAGGCATTTGATAAAATAATTCAAGATTTCTGTCTTATGTTTAGGATGATGTTTAAGTTTGTTGGTGTATCATCGGGAGTAGCTCTGTTTGGCTCGAATTTTCATGCGGTGTTTTACTCCTGATAAAGCTACAAACAGACTTCGAATACGCAGGCAATATATGTTTTCTCAGAAATGCTACCAAGAATCATTCGTTTGGGTACCTTAAAGTGGTATGCGTTTCCTTTGTATCAAATGTGAAACGATGGTGTAGGATTGGTCTTCATTGACCTCCAGTTTAAGGATTATCAGGCATACGGTTACATTGGTCATTTCACTTATTAATGTACTAGCATTAATCGTGACATGATGTCTTCATGGGTACGAGCTTTTTTTATATTTCGGATTCGCTAGCTCTATTTTTTGTTCTGCTGAAATGCCTTGTTGTATATTAGAAGTGCAAATTACCCTGTATAGTCTGCTTTGAGGTCGGACATCTGTTGTTAACCATGAATTGTAAGTATAGGAAGCATAAAAAGTGTAAATCATTTTTCCCATGTATCATGGAAACAGGTTACAACCAGTCCATACACAGTGGTCGTTAGAGAAGAAAATATGAGAGTCATTCAATAAGACAATTAAAAACTTAAATAGCCGATTTTCTTTGAAGGTTCTTAATGCGCGAAAACCACTATTTCCCGATGCCATCAAATTATAGCGATGACAAAAATCAATGAATCCATTGTCCCTTTGAGCTTTTAGGAGAATGTAGGCTGACTGAATGCGATTAGCGTGACTTTATGAACCAATAGCTTTAGTGTCTTTTCGACTACTCTAAATGTACCTTGATAATATTAATATTATCCTCACAGTTTAAATATCTCATTGGTTTTCATTCGCTTGCTTTGTCTTTTTTCAGATTTATATATTTTTTTATTGACTTTCTACTCCCATCAGTTTACGTGTGTCTGAGATAAATTAGTCACTTACAATCGTAGTCATCAAAGTTGATCTCATAGGCATTATTGTGTCATTCTTACAGGTTGATGTCTACTCGCGTAGTCACTTGGACAATAGTTCTGATGGACTCGGGAGTCATTGGTCTTCCTCTGGTCTTCAGGGTGAATACGAAATTAGTGATGCTGAAAACGTTAGTTATGGTACGAAAATTGTACTGCATCTGAAGGAGTCAGCTGCTGAATTCGTGAAAGATGATGTACTGGAACGCATTCTCCGCAAATATAGTAATTTTGTTGGCACTCCAATTTTCTTAAATGGCCGACGTATCAACGTTATTGAACCATTATGGACCAAAGACCAAACACAAGTAAGTTTATATATATGTATATATATATGTATATATATATATATATATATATATATATATATATATATATATATATATATATATATATATATATATATAGCATTTTTTATGATGATTGCATCACTGTTGTCTCTAATAGATAAAGTGAATTTTGATGTGATGTTAGACACTTGAGTTCTTCCGTAGACATTCGTTTATTGATTTACTTATGTAATTTACAAATATGCAGTACAGCATGATCATCGACAAACTTTCCACGCATATCAACATATTAATATTGTTAAAATAAAAACGTAGAATACTTATATCACTATTTTTGTAAAATATCGATACAAATTTCTGATAAGTATTGGTTTCGGGATTTCATCATGAGCTGAAATTGGTTAGAGAACCATTGGAAAACCTGGGAGTACTGGACAGCTGTTTCGTCCTAGTTTGGGACTCTTCATCAGCACGGATCCTCCGGTGAGTTTCGAACCCAGGACCTTCTGGTTACAAGGCGAGCCAGCTCGTAGACCATTAAGCCACTGGGACCCAATCCAATGGCTCACGAATTCTAACCTCTACCAATTCACGATATAGCGCAACCGCTAGCCAATGTCTTCGGGTGTGAGGACAAATACTCGCTGAAGACATTGGTTAGGGGTCGCGCTGTCGTGAATTGGCAGAAGTTAGAATTCATGGGCCATTGGACCAGGTCCCAGTGGCCTAATGGTCTATGAGCTAACTCGCCTTGTAACCAGAAGGTCCTGAGTTTGAACCCCGGTGGGTGCGTACTGCTGAAGAGTCCCAAACTAGGACGAAACAGTTGTCCAGTACTTCCAGGTTTTCCAATGGTTCTCTAACCAATGTCAGCTCATGATGAAATCCTGTAACCATTCAACCGAATCTCTACAAACCAATGCTTGAATAGTATTGGTTTATTGTTTAAACGTACAGTAGAAATGAAAAGCACATATCGTACGTTCAGATATTGGTCGTTAACTGAATAATTATGATTGAAGGTAGTTTGTGTATTCTTTTCTTAGTCTCTGTGTATTTTGTTCGCCTAAGGAACATAGAGAGTTCTTTGTTTTAATTTATTGTTTTATTTTAATTTACCCTAACTAAAATCGAGAGAGGGTTCATGTGTTTAACAGTGGAGAACAGCCTGTAGAGCCTAAACGAATTTTCCTCTTTGGCCTGATCATTTTTCTTGCAGGCGCATTTCAATATTTGTCGTGCTTTTCTCATAACCAGCTTTAATCCCTGAATCTAGCTGGGTTTTGGTATATGATTGCAATAAAAGGCGTAAATAATCTTTTTCCACATGGATTTGATAGGAATGAATATCTTGATCACCGAATGTGAGATGAATACTATTTATTTTACAATGAAATGTTCTCATTCCGGTATAATTATTGCATTATCATGATTACGTTTTTTATAAGGTTTAGATTTGTGTGCAGCGTGTAAGAGGAGGCTAGTGGTCTTCCCATGCAATGAAATCATCAGACTGTGAACAAAAGAAGTGACACTTTTTTACTGGTGGTAATCTTCCCTCATTATAAGTAGAGACGAAAAGGATTTTGGTACTTGCGTTTAGTGCTTAGATGTCTTTTCATCCCTAACATCATAAATTATTGCTTCTATGTAACGGGAGTCAGGCAAGGCTGTCTACTATCGCCAATGATTTTCCTGGTTGCAGTAGATAGGATAATGCAACAGACAACGGACAATGAGGTAGCAGGCATAAAATGAACTCACACAAAAAACTTGGAGGATCTGGACTTCACCGATGATATATGTCTGATTTCCCACAAACTGGAAGATATGCAAGTGAAAAGCAACAAGCTGGCAGAAGAAGCATCAAAGATAGGACTTCAGGTGAACATAGAGAAAACAGAGGTGATGAAGATTCCTGGCCAACAGCAACAACAACAACAGACAACAATCAGCCAGCACAAATGGAAGGAACCTGAAAGTGACAACCTCCTTTACCTACCCACCTACCTGGAAAGCATCGTTTCAACTACAGGCGGAACTGACGAGGACATCAAAGCAAGAATCGGAAAAGCAGGACAAGCTTTCATTACTCTCAAATCTTTGTGGAGGTCAACAGCACTCAGCATGATTATGAAAATAAGATCCGGATTTTCAACTCCAGTGTGAAGTCAGTGCTACTTACTGTATGGATCAGAGACTTGGCCAGCGCGTCATAAAGAGAATCTCAAACAAACTTCAGACCTTCATTAACAGTTGTCTTCGCTCAATTCCACTCAAGATCAGATGGCCGGCCAGAAAAGATCAGCAACAGGGATCTCTGGCAATGAGCGAACCAACCAGGAACCGATTGTGAAACAAATAGGCGGGAAGAAATGGAGATGGGTTGGCTGGTCATACGCTGAGGAAACCATCAAGTGACATCACTAGACAAGCCATTGCTCGAGTGGAACCCGAAAGGGGAGCGGCGAGTTGGTCGTCAGTGCATGGTGACTTGGAGGAGGTCATGTGAAGAGGAAATGAAAGCATGTGGGCAGACTTGGAGCGGAGTGAAAAAGTTGGCAAAAAACCGAAGGCAATGGAGACGCGCGGCTGAAACCCTATGTTTCTCTAGGAATTAAAGAAAATCAAAATAATGTAATAATACTAACCTTATTCTCAACTGCTGTTCATTTTCTTTTTTTTCAATTCTTCTACAGGTAACTGATGAAGAACATACTTCATTCTTCCAGTATCTTTCCGGGAATAGTTATGATAGCCCAAGGTATACTTTTGCATACAAAACTGATGCACCACTAAATTTACGTGTACTTCTCTATGTTCCCAATTGGAAACCGAGTATCTTTGATATGGCGCGTGATTCAGACAATGGCGTTGCATTGTATAGCCGCAAAGTACGTTGTGTTTTTGTAACTAAACCATTTGACTTTTATTTTTCTTCGGATTTTCTACATAGCCGATACAGATTGGCTGTTTGATTGTTCTTATCGTCACAGCTACTTAGAATATATATATATATGTAACTTTTCGCTCAAAAATGATGAAAATATTTTTAATAATTGCAGTGAGAATGTATTCAGACTATGGTCAACCGGATAGGTCTCAGGATTATTTTTTTTGTCACACTTTTGAATGGTCTGTGTCAGGGACTATGGACTAATGAAGTCATCTATCTGCGTTTATTATATGTTTATTTATTTAAATTATCGGTAATCATCACTGTAGTCCTTGAGACATCATTTTAGTCGCTTGTGGAATGGCTTTAAGTTGGTTGGAAGTTGTTGGAAGCAGTTTCGAAACACAAAGCACACTATTTGTTACGGAGTTCTATCAGAACATCGTTTTTCACTAAAGTATTAATGTCGTGACTTCCGCATATTCTCTTTCTAAAACTACTAATTTTAAACTTCTTAGCAAGGGGAGTGGAGTCGTGTAGTTTACTGAGAAAAGCTTTTATCTAAAGTAGGCATATTTCGTTTCGTCTCGGATAATTAATTATTCAATGAGTGGAGCTATCTTATAAGCCACTAACTTCGATGACCTAGATAGGCCCATGTGTTACGCATGCCTAGGCATCGCCTTCCTCGATGGGCAATGTTAATTGACATAGGATCGGGTTGGAAAAGAGTGAGCGGTTGTCAAACGAAAATATTTCTCCATCAGCCAATGAAATTCCCAACATTTAGTTTAAGTCAGTCACGCGGGGAGGAAGGTGTAGACTGACTTCCTGGTTGAAGTCCTTGGGACGATGGAAACTACTGGCTGGAGATAATTGGTGATATGGCTCAAAATCATTCTCAATGGCTGGTGGAGATGCATCCACCCCTTGTGATTTATAATATCCAATAAAATTCTGTTGTTCTTCCATATCACTACTCTTTTTCCTCACTCACACTTCTGTTTATTATCTCTCATGGAAAATTCCCATTGTAACATATAGAAAATCAAAACAAGTGATTCAGCGAAGAGACCCTTTTCAACGAATTTATCATCAAGCTATACAGTCGTATATCTATAGTTTTTAAGAAGTTATATCCGGTGAGGGAATTGAATCATAAGTGTGAATGCATAAAATAATAATAATAGTAGTATGAAATGCAATTAAAAACTAAAATGTTTGTAATTATACTCATAGTTAAATGTCAAGTGGTAAAGCAAATTAATGTCGTATATAGAATATAGAAAATATCCCCATTTAGACATTTAGAAAAGAGAAAGATTGAGCGAAGAAATATTTACTTTTCAATTAGATCCTCATCTCTGGCTCTACTCTAATATATATAGCATTTTAATTACAATACACAACAATTTACCAATCAAGTGGCGATATGTTTGTTAACAATAATAATAACAATCACCCCATTGACATTTTGACACCGACTAATTACTGTTAACAAACATATCGCCACTTGATTGGTAAATTGTTGTGTATTGTAATTAAAATGCTATATATATTAGAGTAGAGCCAGAGATGAGGATCTAATTGAAAAGTAAATATTTCTTCGCTCAATCTTTCTCTTTTCTATATATAGAATAATTCATAGGATAGATAGAACTTGAAAAAGGGTGTGCAATTATAGGATTAGTAGACAAATCGAATAAAATAAAGACGTTACGTAATATTGTGTGAAATTTAACAACAGAATTTAACGTTATAAAAAAGAATTGATTTAGAATGACAAGTGGAACAAGTGAAATAATACCGGGGTCAGTTCAAAGTGAGAGTATTAATAGTAACAATTGACGTAATACGGAAGAGTATACAAATTGAATAGACAAAATGAAAAATTGGTAGAGCTAAAATATGATTGGGGATTACCGTATTTTAGCATAGAGGGATTAAGACCATGAAAGTTGGAGGGGTTGAACGAACTTTTTCTGTACACAGAGATCTGGCTTTTCTGTTTCGATAGCCAAAGCTTCTGCAATACAGATGAGTCGGGTACGTAGGAATTTGGGTAAATTACTCTTTGCTTTGTAGATGACTTTAAAGGCGGAGGCTATAGAGATAGGGTGATCATTATCGACTAGACGTTCAATGATCGCGCTTCTTATCGCTCCACTTCCACCTTTTTGTAGCCATGCAGGAGTGTTCTTGCACCCTCTTGGACAAAACTCGAGTCGAACGACCGATATACCTAGCTCCACAAGCAGTTTCTGTCTCCTTTTTGAACCTCCCTTTACTCTCTTCCTTTGTTTTGTGTACTATAAGGAAGGTAGTGTGGCAACTGGAACTGCTGCACATCTGTGCAAAGCTGTACGTTGAAAGCAGTCAGTAGTCAAACAAACAAATAGGTAAGTAATAACAGAAATTCGTTCCTTGAATGGCATTTGCTGCGCAGTTTTCATAATACTATGGCCTTTTTTTGGTGTAGAGTAACTTCAGAAAATAGATTTCTTTGCTGGTACTATATGAAGATAAAAGCTAGCTGATGTCCTTCTAACTATCTGCATGAGTGAGACACTTCGTACTTGTGTGTTTGGAATCATGGTCTAAATTTTTTCATGTGTGTATAGCTTGCTTAACCTTTTCTCCACCTTTTCGTCTTGAATAATTTCTGTTTTTTTAAATTCTTCATGTCAATAGATTATGATAATGAATCGTACGGAAGCTCTGTTACCTAAATGGCTACGTTTTCTTCGGGGTGTTGTTGACAGTGAAGATGTCCCTTTAAATTTAAGCCGAGAATTACTGCAAGATAATTCACTCATACGTCGAATTAACCGTTTGTTAACAGTTAGATTCCTTAAATTTTTATCTGTAAGTTAACAGTTCAGTTAACATTGTCCGACCGTTATGTGACTAATCATTAATTGTCTTTACCTATCTGAGTAAATTGGCCGCCATCAATATCTTACCAGAATTAAAGTCATTGCAATTTCTGCTATCATAATTTTTATAATTTTGTTTAAAATCTACAAAAAACATGGGTGGTTTCATGCACAACCTCAGTTAATCGATAGTACACGTTCCTGATGAGCAATCCATCCTCGATGACGAATGATGACGACTAGTGGTGTCCGTCAAGGATGCCCTTTATCCCCTTTTCTATTCAACTTCATCATAGATGTACTAATGGACTTAACCCTAAGTGACTTCAGCGACTCAGGGATTGACTTGCTACCAGGAAAAAATCTCGTTGACTTGGAATATGCAGACAATATAGTCCTTCTAGCCAAGACGCTGACAAAATGGAGTCTTCTAAACACCTTGAGATGGAATCTATGAATGTTTGGCATGCGATTCGCTCCCGCCAAATGCAAGATGATGTTACAGGACTGGACTACAGCGACTCCTAGTTTAAAAATACGAAGTGAAGTGGTAGAGCACGTTGACTGCTTCACTTATTTGGGAAGTACCATCAACCCCAACAGGTTGATCTCTGACGAAATCTCGGCACGGATACAGAGGGCTAGCTTCTCATATGCCAGTTTACACCGACTCTGGCGTAGACGAGATGTTCAACTATCGACCAAAGGGCGGGTGTACTGCTCATCAGTCCGCTCCGTCCTTCTTTATGGTTGTGAGACCTGGCCGTAGAGAGTGGAAGACATGAAAAGACTAGCTGTCTTTGATCATAGGTGCCTGAGTTCTATTTCCCGTGTGAAGTGGCATAATAAGGTAAGCAATATTGAAGTTAGGCGTCGAGTGCTAGGTAAACAGGGGAAATCAATCGACGAAGTCGTGAAGCTACAAAGACTGAGATGGTTAGGACATGTGTTACGTATGCCAAGCCATCGCCTCCCTCGACGAGCTATGTTAGCGGATATAGGGTCAGGCTGGAAAAAAGCTAATGGAGGTGAAACAAAAACATGGCTTCACCAGTCAATGAAATCCACAACAGTTGGTCTAAGCCACGTAGGAAGGTGTAGACTTCCAGGCTGGGGTCCTCGGGACGGTAAAAATCTATGGTTGGAAACAATTGGTGACATGGCTCAAAATTGTTCTCAGTGGCTAACGCAGATGCATCCACTCCTTTTGACTTATGATTTCCAATGAAACCATGTTGTTTTTCGTTATTACTCTTCCTTTGTCTCATACCTCTGCTTACTGTCTCTCTCTGTTATGCATTTCTTCTACTTTCTTCTCTTGCTGTGTGTGCTGCAAGGAGTGGAGTGTGGCGACTTGATCTGGTGCACATCGGTGCGAGATTCTATGTTGAAAACAGACAGACAGACAATACATCCTCGATATATACATATACGGCTTCAAGCCATCGATCAACACGTTTAGATTTCTCTGCATACAATTGCGAATGAAAGGGTCGGTTTATCATCGCCGCTGTTTAAATGTAAGCAGACTAAAAGTCCTAGCAGTGGTAATTAACAATGATGGGAGATGAAACCAAAAAGATCAAAAGTAGGTCAGTGATAGGTAATACTCATTAGCTATTTAAATTCATCAAGTAGACAGGTTGTAAAAATGTGTCATTCGTTCTTTGCGTTCCTTCCGCAAATGATTAATGAAATGATATCTGAGAAAGATAAACTTTTAATAACTTCTCAGAAAAGATGACTGAAACTTTGGGTGTAACACTTTGAGGAGAGCAGTTCGATTGATCCTCTGCCACAATGAAGTTGCTTATCATAGAACAGCCTGAATGTGAAAAATGATCCTGAAGTAGCAGTAGAGGCTAACAAAGCTGTGTCTAATCTTGGACAAGGTTAAGCTGCATGACTTGAGGGGATTTGACTATGAAGGTGTCTGGGCTGAAGGTAGTTCATTGTTGACTAGCCTAATTAAGGTACTAACTGGCGTGTGAAAATCTAAGATAGCTCTAGCAGAAATTTGTAAATGGCTAGTCCTCTCATGGGTCGAATTTGTTTGCAAAAATGTGATTTATTTGTGTAGAATGATGTTATTCATCATTTTTCTCCTTTATGGCATCCGTTTATCAAGTAAGCCAAAGCTGAATAGCAATCACATTGATGTTTTAACTAAGGATAAATGATTAATCTCTTTTAAATGGAATATCTACTACTTCGTGATCTTTTAAGTAGTAGGTGCCTTAACTCCTTAAAGCTATCTGATGGTATCAGACTAGCTGATATATACTTTTTTTGGTGCAATTCAATGGGATGAAGGCCCAAATTTTATCTTAAAAGTTTGGTATTCTTTAGCCTACTCAGGGGGATGTACCAGCAGTCACATGCAAGTCTGTACATATCTATACTTAAATAGATGTCCTGTAGATTAGTTCACTGATAATCATGGCTAGACAAAATCTGTTCATATATTTTAATTGTCAGACAAACCAAGCTGGACTAACGCGAAGAAACTGCGATTTCTGCAGAGAGATGTAAGAGATTTCCAAGTTCATATGCCACTAGTTAGTGTGTCTTTTACTCCTTGACCTTTCATTAAACTTCAGAGTTCAAAGTAATTGTTCCCTAGTATTATGTTTCCAAAAGAAACCCGGTTAAAGCCATATTCGAATAGTTGTGAAGGGTATCAAAGTGAGCTGAACAGTTTAGAAATAATTTAGTAAATTATTCGTTTATCTAACTAAAGCGTGTAATAGTTTTACATGTTTCTCAGGCATAAGCAGATACGGTTACTAAAAAAAAGTTAATTTCCCGCATACTGTTAACATTTTAGGGCTACATTATGTACTAAACAGTTGCCTTGTTTAATATATCCTAATTTTTTTTTATTATTTCCTATACTTTCAATTAAAGCAACAAGCTTCACGTGACACAAGCAAATTTATTAGCTTTCTGGAGGATTATGGTCTTTATCTGAAGGAAGGATTGGTTATTGAAGGGGATCAACAGTTAAGAGAGGAAATAGCCAAGCTTTTAAGATGGGAATCAAGTGTACTGCCTGCTGGTCAGACCACGTGTTTGGATGAATATGCTAGTCGAATGCATGCAGGTCAACGGAATATTTACTTTTTGGCGGCTCCTAGTAGACAGCTGGCTGAAAATTCTCCATATTTGGAAGCTGTGCGTAAGAAGAATCCAGATATTGAGGTGAGTCATGTTTTATACATATATATATATATATATATATATATTTTCAGAACTTTACTTTTATGAAATTCTGTTAAATTGTAAATGCAGCAACAGGTATTCCAAATGGTTTCAATTGATGCAGCTTAGTTTCTTTAACTTAATGTGTTAAGTGATCCGAATCACTGAACTGTACTAAAGTGCATTCTCCTGTAAGAATTGTAGTGGTAGAGTTTATTGACAACTTGTGCTCTAATAGCTATGCACTTAACTTCTTTCATGCAGTCTATGAGAGATTATCGTTTGATCTACTGTCAAGTAAAGTAATTTCACTATTCAGAATTTTCTACCTTTTTTTTGTAATTAACATTTCGAAGTCTACCGTTGTAGTTATCCGGTTATCATTTACTGTATCTTAAAAGTAGGTTGAGAAACGTACTGTACCCACTTCAATATCAGGGTGTGTCAAGTGAATGTTTTCTTTTTGCTTTTAATTATAAAATTCAACCAAAATTTGTTCATTCGGCTGTTGAGAATAATTGCTATTTACCTAAAAGAATTCTAAAACGATGATGACGGTACTTAGTTATACCATTGACAAAAGTAGTTCTCTGAGTTAGTCTAAATGGTTTAATTTAATGCCTAAAACTAATAATGCTGGTAGAATGTATGGTAATATTAAAATACATAAGCCAGACTACCCCTACGATCAATAGTCGATTTTAGAAATACCCCTACTTATGAATTATCAAAACACTTAGCTCTAATATTATGCCCCATTAGAAATCGTTCAAACTCTAGACTAACTAATTCGTATGAGATGAGAAATAAACTAAACGACATTCAACAAGAGAATGATGAAATAATGGTTAGTTTTGATATAACTAGTCTTTATACTAATATACCAATCAATAGGGCCTAAGCAGTTAAAACAGAACTAAGTGCAGATCCTGAACTCACTCATAAGACAAAGCTGCCTATTGAAGAAATTATTTTAGGGATTCAGTTATGCCTCACATCTATCTTTAGGTTCCAAGGCAAAATATATAGACAAACAGAAGGTGTAGTGATGGGATTACCAATATTCCCTGTCGTAGCAGATACCTTTACGGACAGCTTGGAAAATATGGCTCTTATTACATTTAATCCTACTCCTAAAATATGGTGGAGTTATGTGGATGACACTTTCACAGTGTTAAAAACAGAACATATATCTACTCTCTTAACACATATAAACACACGTAAAGGGAATAAAATTTACATTTGAATCGGAAAATGAACAAGGAGAATTAGCTATGTTAGATTGTAAAATAAAACGAATAGAAGAAGGTAAACTGTACACTAGTGTGTACAGAAAACCAATTCATTCTAATAGATACTTAGACTTTAGTTCGTCTAATCCGTTAACTGTTAAGACAGGCTTAGTTAAGTGTCTAACAAACCGAGCAGTGGCACTAAGTAGCACAAGAAAAATTTAAATTTTTTTTAAAATTTTGATCACTGCTTGATTCCACACTATATTTTTGGTACAGGTATGGAATTTTCAGCATGTGATATCGGTAGCCCAAATTTTGCAGGCCGACCATAGACATCAGGTGTGTGTCGGCAGAGGACCGAACCCCGGTCCATGTGCATGAACGGCGAGAGTCCTAACCACTGTGCCACCGACCTAAATGATGAAATAAAACAGATAGAACAGGCGTTGGTGTTAAATAACTATCCCATAAAATACATTAGGAAGATCGAAAAAGGCCAAAAGCAAAAAAATTAATTGAGAATATAAGTTATCTACTGTTATACCATATAAGGAGAGGACATCTGAGACCCTACGTAGGATTCTTAATAAAGCAGGAATTAGGGTGGCATTCAAACCTACAAACTCACTCCGAGACAAACTCTGTAGGCTAAAAGACCCGGTGGACCCAATTAAACAAAATAATATAATTTACAAAACACCATGCAATGACTGTGAGGTTAACTAGATAGTTCAAAATAGTAGATCGGGGGTAACCAGATTGTCAGAACATAGGAATTTAGCTAAGGTAAGAATGGTTGACCCCGATAAAATAAGTAATTTAGAATAAAGCTCAGCATTTGCACTACATGCGTGCATTAACACACAACCACACAATAGGGTGGGAGAGAGTTGAGATTCTAAGAAGTAATCTAGGTAGGTGGAGAGACCGATTGATTACTGAATCCTGGTTCACTGAATGAATCTACACCCGATACAACACATACAACAGAAATGACTCAATGCAAATACCAGAAATATGGAAGATATTATTATCGCCGGTCAAATCAGAAGAGGATAATAAATAATCTCAAAATTCTATTTTAATTCAAGCACATCACAACATTCTAACAAGTAACTTATTATGACTATGAAAACACTCGTCTTATTTCCCATCTAATTGTAATTGATCAATAACACTCATATTATTATTATTTCTGAATGTACACTATCCTATATTGATTTTTATTCAAATATCTAATCGATTCCACACATGTATATAAATGAGGGGAAAAAAATTGTGTGAGTAGTGACTTGATATGATTATGAGTGGCAATAGTTTGTGCTCGAAACATGGTCATCAGTATATATTACTGTGTAATACTGTGTGATTTATCAAAATAAAATCTTATCCATAATGGAGTTATACTCTACCACAGTGTCCAAGTTTTATACTTATATCAAAAATTCAGTTTATTAAAATTATCCATTTGTTGTGTGCAACTAGCTTTAAAAACAAAAGGTTATGTGTGTTGTATGTGTACTACTGACAAGAATTTGTGAGTAGTATGCAGGTAGCTACTTCCTCAAGAATCTTGAATAGTTGAGCGGTGGATGATTAAGTTGCAAAGAAGAGAGATGACGATAACTGTGAAACAGCGTAGTAGACGGCATGATATGAAGACGAAACAAGCAGATGACGAATACTTATGGTTAATTGAAGCTTCAATACAAGCCTTTTAATATTTCAACATTGTGGCAAATGAATGATTCTACTATCTCAAACATCTCTGTGTTTAAAATACTTCTCTGGGCCAAGTTAAACTTTAAGCACCACTTACTACCAGTGGATTGCGACCGCACCAATGACCTTGAATCACTCACTGAACAAGTTAGTAAAACCTGTCAAATAATGTTGTCATCATCAATAAAATATGCTCATCGAAGTGTTATGCTATTAAATGGGATATCTAACAAGTTTCCGGTTGGGTTCCGGAAAGATTAAGTCATGCCTTAAGCTAAGGCCAAGTTAGGGTTAGGTCAACCTAATAAAGGCGACATTAGGGTTGATTCGAGTTAGAGTACAGTTAGTTCAGGGACATTTTCACTTTGGGGTTAGGTTCAGGAAAGATTAGGGTTAGAAGACCTGAGTAATTACACGCACAGAATGTGGTTATATTACTCTGTTGATATAAGAATCGAACTTGTACACTGTAGTAGAGTATAATTCGATTGCGGGTAAAATTTATTTTGTTAAAGTCTCACGGTGTTGTACAGTGTTATTTACTGATGATGTTTTGAGCACAATTTATCGCTCAGTAAACACTACTGCATAACACTATGCGATTTTTTCAAAATAAATTTTACCCACAATGGAATTATACTCTGTTGATACTCCAACCTAAAACTGAGATCTATTTTTATCACATGTGAGAGCAAGATATCCTCTCTAACACACTAATCTACAGTTTTATGCATTATTTCATAAATATATTTATTCCATACAAAAAATGTCTCCTTAACGTGATTGGTGCGTTTGAGGTCATTCGCTGATTGGTAGTTAGTGGTACTTGAAGTTTCACTTTGCCCTTCTCTGCTTTCTCAATAATTGTGTGTTATGTGCTATCTAAGGTGATGTTGGTAGCAGAGTATACAACTTCACAGTTTTTTTTCTGTCAGGGATCAATGTGCAAGTGTAGAATTCATTCCTAGAGGGCAACCATTAGTGTCAGTGTCTAAACAGCTTAACTTTTCCAAGCATCGTTGTCAAATAAACTCACGTGAAACCAAGAGAAAAGACATCCTGCTAACGTTGTGGTTAACCTTGCAAGATATTTTTATTGTGTAGTAAAGTAAGTCTGTAGGTTCATGCCAGTTTGTATTAGGGAAAGCTATTTTAAACTTCTTTACCTTTAATAAATTATTTTAAGGGGTTTATTGACAGAGATATGAAGCCGTTACGCAAAGATTAGAATTAATAGCTCTACCTATAATTAAACCAAAAATATGGGTACGTTACGTTGATGATATATTTGTAATAATTGAGAGAAATGGTTTAGAATATTACCCACAAATTAGTAAACATAAAATTCACAAGAGAAGAAGAATTAGAGATAACAAAATCCCATTTTTAGATGTTTTAATCAGGAGAACCAACACAGGAAATTTAGAAACACAAGTATGTGTAGAAAATCAACACACACAGATCAAATACTCAACTATACTAGCAATATTCCAATTACTCACTCACTCACTCACAAAAGAAACTGTGTGCAGACATTGTTTAAAAGAATTCAAGCACACACTGTAGCACTCCAGAGTTGAAAAGAATGGAAGAAAAATACCTACAAACGGTCTTCGAAAAGGATAGTTATCCACAAAATTTCATCAAAAAGTGTTTAATGTCGTATCAGAACACCAACAAGGAACCATCATCAAAGACCACGAGAAAATTCATTCTGCCATACATGAGAAATATCTCTGAAATAACAGCTAGAATACTGAAACCGTTTGATAGGGTTATAGCACGCAAACCAGTCAAATAGCTTATTTCGATATTATGCTAACCGAAAGATCCAACAGAAAAAGGAGATAAAATTAACACCATTTAAAAAATAAACTGTATGAAATGTAACAAGCATTACATCGGCCAAAGTGGGCGTCCTTTCCTTTCGAATTAGAATCCAGGAACACAAATCAGCCGTGAAAAGACACGATATATATTCTTTTATATCAATGCATAAAGACGATTATGGACATCCGTTTGATTGGGATGAAGTCGAAATCTTAGACAGACAAAACACCAAAAGTGCCAGAGAATTCCTAGAAGCCTGGTACTCAAATGAATATGCTATTAATTAACACGTTAATATAGACCAAATATACCAACTAATAAAAAGTAAATCTAAGTCAATAGAAAATGGTCAATACAGATGTAAAGATGGTTACCAGGAAACGCATTGATATCACTCATGAAAAATTCACTTTATGCTAGATATTGCACTGAAGATGCTGTCCAGAAGGACGACGAAAGCTCCGCAACTAAATCAACCAGCTCGGAGAACACTATTAATTGCAAATCATCCACTTGAGCTACAGATCTTCTCTGTTATTTCAGAATTATGAACACTTTTAGGTACTAAGATCCTATCGTTAAAGTAGCTGTTATAACTACCGTAGATATGCGAAACATCAATGTCAGAGTTATCTGCCAAATAAACTTCTTATACAACATTTGTTGTGCTACTTTGAAGAAAAGGTATATTCCTAAATCCCTTTTCTTTCTTATATTTGGTAGGAAAAGTTTTTTAGTTTACCAGTGATCTCTTCATAAAACTATAATGAACAAAGCAATTATTAGTATTTTGATCACTTCTACTTAATATAGCTCCAATCAGTTAATTTCTCTAACAAATCACTTTTATATGTACCAATGTAATCTGTAGTAATTCTTTTGTTCCAGGTACTGTTTCTGTATGAACCATATGATGAACTTGTTCTAATGCAATTAAATCAGTATGACAAAAAAACACTTACATCTGTTGAGACTATGATTGCTGATGATTTAGCTGATACAAATTCTGTTGGACCTGAACGTCAAAATTGTTTAAAACAAGATGAAGCCTCAGAGTTAGTTGAATGGGCAGAGAAGATTCTTGGCTCAAAAGTCAAGAAAGTAAAGGTGAGACTATAAAAAAAGATAATTATTTCATTTTGTACATTTATTCTCCTTAATGAATTTAAATAAAGCAAGAACAACAATTTTTGAAGAATAAAATGGTAACATCATTTATTTCGTTGGCTTCTTATCAGCTACTTACAGCCTAAAGACATCAGTAAGTATATCTATAGAAACAATTTTAACATATTTACACAGAGTTCATTTTTAAACAAAAATCAATCACTATATGCATTCAATGCTAATAATAATAAACACTATCTGGAACAATAATGATCATTCACAATGGATACTTTTGACATTACGTAATAAGATGAAAGAGAGGGTGAAAGCATCCAGTTACCAGGACAAGGAAAGACTGATAACCGTTTCTTTCTGAACGCATAAATAGGATTTCAGGCACTTGATGAGAATCGCTTCGACAAAATTAAGGAGTACTGGACACTTTTGCCTGTTGATGATTTTGAAAGATTTTTCGATGTCCACCTCATGACCCGTGTCAAGGATATACCTGGCGATGGCACTGTTTAAAGCATTTGTTCCCTTTAGACAATGGCTTTTTCATATATGTTCAGTTAATTGGAGGTGTGCCCATCTTTCACTTCTTTCAATGTAACTGTTCATGCACATACACGTAGATTTGTTTATACAGTTGGAGTTAATATTAGAAGGGCATCTGTGGACTTTTGATTCTACCAGAAACACGTTCAATAGATGGGAACTAGCTTAGCTTCAGGACTCTGGCTAGTGACATCCTCAATCTTCTGTTGACAATTCCTATAATATTTTCACCTTTAAAATCGAGTTTAATGAAGATGAGCTTTTTTCCCACTGGGATTTGTTTGACATTTGGACCTTCAGACCTTCCATACTTGTTAATGAGCCTTTGAGGTAACCGTTGCTTCTCAACATCTTTTCGAGAAGCATAAATTCTTCATCTAATTTCTCTGTTGAGCATATTCTCCTAGTTCTGTAGTATACAGTCTTGACTCGTGCTCGTCTGAAGCTATTTCGACAAAAATTATTAAAATCTAAGTATTGTTCATTCAGTGTACGCTTTCGGTAAATTGACCTCTGGCCTGACCGAAAGCTGCCACCTTGACGTGGTGGTCGGGCTTGAACACCGCAATGACCTAATCAAGCTATACTGGCTGAGACTTATGTCTCTTGAGGTTCTACCATGCCAGGCAGGTTGTTTGGATAGCGGTTAAACAAAAAGCAGCTACCCATCCAATACCATGATCCAAACAAATTCACAAAATTTCATGCCGGATCGGCCGTGGCCCGGATTAACAACGACCGCGCTTCCTGCTGCCGTGTCACAGGGCAGGAGTGATAAGTATGCTACTGAGGCACACCAAACAAAAAGAACGAACAAAAACAGGCCGCGTGTGACCGGCCTCAAGCAGTTGTCCCCTGGGCTCTGCGGTCACGCAACCAACTTCCACGGTGTGGGCAGCCGGGAAGTAACAATCGCCCTCACAATCCGAAATGCACACAAAACCTCTCTAATCCTCACTTATCTTTGTCTTCATCTTCATCTCTATTACCTTGCCTTCCTCCCACTGATGCAACTCCTCTACTTGATGGCTCCTCACTCCCTCTTCACTCTGTGTCCACTAAAAACGACGAAAGCCAAAAAACCACCACGGATAGTCTCCTAAAGCCACGCCACCAATTTCATATAGGAGCATTTAATGTTAGGACACTTTGCCAAATAGGACAACAAGCATCACTAGCTAAGACCCTGGCATCTCGAGCCATTGATGTATGTTGTGTTTCAGAAACACGCATACAAGACCCAAGTGTGGTTATTCACCTAACCCCACCTGGCCAACAGGATGAATCTTCAAAATTCACCTTGAGGGTGTCAGGAGATGCCACAGCTAGTTCACGAGGATTAGCTGGCGTAGGGATAGCTTGAGTACTAGGGCAGAAAAGACATTGCTTGACTGGATCCCGGTAGATAGCCGAATGTGTGCTGTCCGTCTGAACGGATCAGTAAGAAGGAGAAAGGACTGCACTACTCGCCGATGCCTTTTCGTAATCTCCGCCTACGCCCCCACTGACTGCAGTTCGGATGAAACGAAGGATGAGTTCTACCAAAAGCTGTCTAGTTTGGTGAGAAAGGCTAAACGCTCAGATATAGTCGTTCTAGCTGGTGACTTTAACGCTCAAGTAGGGAAATTGTGTCAATCTGAGAAGGATGTCGGTGGCACCTATGGAGTTCCGTGCCAGCGAACCGACAACGGTGACCGTCTCCTACAGTTCTGTTCAGATAATCATTTGTTTCTTGTAAGCACTAACTTTAAACACAAGGAGAGACACTGTTTAACCTGGCGACCCCCATCATCAAACCAACGCTGGACACAAATAGACCACATAGCAATAAGCTATCGTTGGCGTGGGTCGGTAGGAGATTGTCGCTCCTTCTGGAACACGTGTGTAGATACCGATCACGCACTGGTCCGGGCTCGTGTGTGCTTACGACTGAACGGACGTAGGAAACAGCTGGCGGTAAAACCATCACGTCCCCAGCTCGATCAGGAAACTAAATCCCTATTTGAGGAAGAACTAGCTAAACACATATCTGAATTCGACAGCTGTGCTCACCCTGGAGAAGCCTGGAAGAATATTCAGTCAGCTATAGATACAGCTGTAAAAGCTGTGAATAAGAAAATCCAAAGGTGAGTAAAAACCACTGGATTTCGACTGCCTCATCCGAACTGATAGATGCTAGAAGACTTATTCCGGCGAGCTCCGAATTCAATGAGGAGCGAAAGCTGCACAAAAGGAAACTTACTAAAAGTCTCCGCAAGGACCGTGAACAGTGGTGGGTGACAAAGGCGAAAGAGATGGAAAAAGCATCGGCGATAGGCAACACTAGGCAACTCTTTAGACTCATCAGAAACGGGTGGGAGAAGGCAATTCATAAGTGAGACTATTTCTGAGAAAAATGGCTCCTTAATTAGCTCTCAGGATAGACGCCTTGAACGCTGGAAAGAACACTTTGAGGAACAATTTAACTTGCCTACAGCCACACTGAACCTCCCGACATCCACACACACCAAAATGGGATATAGACACTGGTCCGCCGTCTGTAAGTGAGGTCACAAAAGCTATCAGTAATTTGAAACGAGGCAAAGCGGCAGGACCCGACGGAATTATGGAGGTGACATACTAGTTTGTAGATTAACTGAGGTACTAGGCAAAGTCTGGGAATCAGAGACAGTTCCATCAGACTGGGGTAAGTCACTTATTATACCGATATTCAAGAAGGGAAACAAGTCCTCGTGTGATAATCATAGGATGCAGAGTCTTCTGAACACCTTGAGCAACAATCTTCGTATGTTTGGCATGCGATTCGCCCCTTCAAAATGTAAGATGCTGCTACAGGACTGGACTACGTCAACTCCTAACTTAGTGATAGGGAGTGAAGTGATAGAACATGTTGACCACTTCACCTATTTGGGAAGTTGTATCAGCACCAACGGACTGATTGGCGATGAAATCTCAGCACGGATACGAAAAGTCCAAGCTGCTTTCGCTGACTTACACCATCTCTGGCGTAGGCGTGACATCCGGCTATCAACCGAGGGACGTGTGTACTGCTCATCAGTTCGCTCCGTCCTTGTCTATGGCTCTGAAACATGGCCAATACGAGTTGAAGACATGAAAAGGTTGACTGCTTTCGATCATAGATGTCTGCGATCTCTGTCTCACGTTAGGTGGTTTAATAAGGTAAGTAATGTTGATGTTAGGCGTATAGTGTTGGGTAAAGAGGGAAAATCAATCGACGAGGCTATAAAGTTACATAGATTGAGATGGCTAGGTCACGTGGTGCGCATGCCTAACCACCGCCTCCCCCGACGACGGGCATTACTAGGTGATATAGGTGCAGGTTGGAAAAGAGTAAGTGGTGGCCAAACAAAAACATGGCCTCATCAATCCATGAAATCCTTGACAGTTGAACTGAGTCGGTCAGGTAGGGAGATGCAGACTTCCGGGTTGGGGCCCTCAGGACTCTAGGAATCAATGGCTGGAGACAATAGGTGACATGGCTCAAAATCGTTGTCAATGGCCAGCGCAGATGTATTCAGTCTCTGTAATCTTTCATATTCCTTTCTACCATTACCCATTCTGTTTCACTCTTATATTTGTCAAACTCTATTGATTCTCTTCACTCATCTTCTTGTCTACCTTGTGTGCCAATTGGAACGTGGCAACTCGAACTGCTGCACTTCGGTGCCAAGTTCTATGTTGAATCCAGACAAACAGACAGCCCTCTGGCGACTACCATCTTCTAGGCGTTGCATGGCAATGTCAGGGAAATGGAACTTTCCATCATTTTTGTGCTCCATAATATGTTAAAATTGTTTCTTTAGAGATATACTCAATTGATGTCTTTGGGCTGTGAGCAGTTGATGAAAAGCTAACGAAATAAATGATGTTACAATTTTATTCTGGAAAAGCTTTCGTTCTTGCTTTATTCAAATTGTAGTCTATTTGGCAATTAAGTTTAACAAAATTAAATTAGCAGCTTTTCTAATTAATGAATTCAAAAGTAATAATTTCGAAATGAATTTGTTCACTATTGTAGAATGGTGATACGGCATATTAATCGTGCACTCTAGGTTTTACGAATAAAAGTGAATATTTTCCGAGCAGTTAGTTACTATTATTGTGCCACGTTCAATGATGGTAGTTGGTTTCTCACGGGGCAGTTGTTGAAAACAACTTGCAAATTTATTGCTCGAATAATTATTATAGCGTAATACTTGCAATTAAACTAGAGTTGTCCAACGGATGGTTTTTGGAAGTTTGTTTATTACCATTAGTTAACAATGATAATAATAATTTCATTCTAAAAAAGGTGCTTTTATACACAAGACAGAATTTTCACAAGGTTTTTTTATTGCAAGGTATTTCATCCTTGTTCAGAATCTTCAAGTAATGTAGTAAGCGATAGTATATCTCTACTGAAGTGATATTCAAGTATTGGTTTTTTAGAGATTTGATTGGTTGGTTACAGGATTTCATCATGAGCTGACATGGGTTAGAGAAGCAGTGGAAAACGTAAAAGTACTGGACAGTTGTTTCGTCCCAGTTTGGGACTCTTCACAGCGATATTGTTATATCTAGGCCATCCTGCAATAATCCACAATGTTTCTCCCCAACTTCCGTTAGTAAAGTCGTAGCAGTCAGTTGAACGTGTTTGCAAATATGCCTGAGTATACATTGTGATTCTTAGACGTAGTTGTATCATTAAAGCAATATGAAATGGAGTAAACACAATGCATTTTGGTAAATATGAAATTCAGTCAACCCTGTTACTTAAGCAGGCTGTCAGAAAGTTGCAGTCTAAACTCATTTTCTTTTCAAGTACTTTAGGGAAGTTAGTTGAATAGTGTACAGTTGTTTGACTTATGCGAAAATATTGTATTTTATTAAATCTATTTTCGATCCGATCAAAATTATTATCGTTTTATTGATCTTATGTTCTCTAACTTTGCTATGTCAATACACAGCTTCGAAAGTGTAAAGTTAACAGTGTTTTTCCATTCATATTTCACTTCTCCATATTTTTTCACTTTGAACTGCTTTGATGTTAGTTAGCGTTGCGAAGTATTTGCATTCCATGAGCACACCAACGCCTTGTATTTTTGTAAAATTTATTCTCTCCTTTGTTTGAAAGTTATGATTGACCGTCATTACTTCTTCTGAAATGGCTATCCAACTCTTTTGATTCTTATTGTTTTCTGTGTCTAACGGTTATTTTGTTTTCATAACAGTTTTATTTCACAGCCTAATTAATATAGTCACATGCTTGTTGACTGTAGTATGTTATGCATTTTTATGTGTCTATTATTTTGTCCTAATTCGAAAAGTAAAGCATTTTAACCTGTTAACTACTCGAGTACTATGGCGTACCCAAAATATTCATCAATCTTATTCAACAGCTGTACGACAATGGCACATGTCAAGTGATCGATCCACAACGGAAAACTCAGCGAGGCGTTTGGAGTAAACACAGGTATGAGACAAGGGTGCTTATTATCACCAATGATATTCCGAATTGTGGTGGACTGGATTATGCATCAGACAGTGGGAAACGAGAAGACAGGAATATCCTGGACCGACCGACGTGAAGAACCTAGAAGACATGGATTTCGCGCCTGGATGATTCATCTTTGATGTCACACACAATCGAAGACTTACAAGCGAAAACCGACAAACTGGTTGAAGAAGCAGCCGGCGAAGGCAGGACTCCAAGTGAACATAGACAAGACGGAGGTAATGAAAATAACCAACCAACCAACAACAACAGCAGCAACATCCAGCGTCAGTCACCATCAACGGGAGGGATTTGAAAGAGGTTAGTTCATTCACTCACTTATCTAGGGAGCATTGCCTCGACTACAGGCAGTCGGAACGGATGAAGGTGTCAAATCGAGCGAGAATCGGGAAGGCGAGAAACACATTCATCAACCTGAAACCAATCTGGAAATCTTCGTCACTCAGCCACCATCAACAACAAAATCCCGTCGGATTTTCAATACAAACTTCAAGTCAGTCAGTTCTTCTATACGGATCAGAAACTTGGATGGTCACAAAGAATATTTCCAACAGTCTGTTGCAGACCTTCATCAACCAACAACTTTCTTCGCTGGATCTATACTGGAGATCAGATGGCCGAGCCGGAAAGAATCACCAACAAGAAACTATGTCAGGGAACAAACAAAACAAGAACCAATTGCGAGACAAATATGCAGGAGAAAGTGGATTGAGATGGATTGGACACTCGCCGAGGAGACCACCACAGGGTGACATCGCGTGCGCGTCAGGCCATTGCTCGAGTGGAACTCAAAAGGAAAGCAGGGAGTGGAACGTCGGTGCAACGGTGACATGCAGGAGATCGTATGAAGAGGAGTTAAAATAGTATGGACTAAGATGGATGCAGGTGAAAAGTACAGCAGAAGACAGAAGCAAATTGAGACGAGCGGTTGAAGTCCTATTTTCCACTAGGAACCCAAGGAAATAATAATAATAACTTACTAAGATACTTTACTAAAGTTGCAAGCAAAGGCAAGATCACAATTCTTAGCATTTGAATTTGTACTGGGGTTGTAATTGTTGGCTAAATCTCGAAATGAATACGATACAAATTTACTATCTCACGTAGCTTCACTTCATTTTAAGACTTATGTATTGGGTAAATATTTTGTTTTCTATTTTATTTTTAGATTACTCAAAGGTTAAGCACTCATCCATGCTTCGTTTCTGTTCGTGAGGCAGGAGCAATGAGACATTTTCTGCGGACTAGTTTAGCTGATAGACCTGCTGAAGAAAGAAATCGTGTTATTGAACCAATTCTAGAACTCAATCCTGAACACGAACTAGTTCGATATCTGTATAGCCTGGTCAAAAGTTCCAAGGATGCTGATCAATCTCAGGACAATGCTTTAGCCGTTTCTATTTTAGATCATCTCTATGATTCAGCTATGGCTCAAGCAGGTCTTATGGATGATGTTCGAGGACTTGCATCTCGTATGACAAATCTTATCACAAAATTAGTTGAAAAGACCCAATAATTTTTGCTTATTTTGATACTATGTACTTATCATTATGGTCCTGTAGGAAATATGGAATAAAAAAACTTTGCCAACATTGATCTCTATAATTTTCAGTTAGCGAATAACTGCGTGTTATGCGATGATTGCTAAAAAGATTAAAATAAAAGTACGATGTGTATGTCGATTGATTTTTGACGTATAACCACTGTCATACGTCATGTCCTAAATGATGCTGATTGTACTTTGTCAGTCAAGTTTTGTTATGTTCCCAAGCTTGGAGACTCTTCGTTATGGTTAACCTTAACTTACTATTAGATGGTTGGATACTCAGTAGTAACGACTGTGTTCTGCAGTATAGGCGGTGCGGGTTTGAATCACTAAAGAGACATCACTTCTGAAGACCCCTTGTAGACACCTTACCGATTAGTGCCAAAAAGCACGATGCCTAGGACCAGGGATTTCCTGCTGATTGCCTGGAGCCTCACACAATGAAAGTACGATGTGTTTGTTAAGTTGCTATGAATACTATAGATAAGTAATTCTAGTTTTCGATTTGAACTAGTGTGAATTCACTTTTTTGCCCTCCCTCTTTCTCTCAAGAGGTACAAGTAAGGTGAAAAGGTATTTGAATAAAAGGTGTTCAGGAGATGATGGAATATAAGGAAACATGTGTAGCAGATACACTTAAACCATAGGTAGACATTGTTGACACTTTAGATATGCTAAAATGCAATGGAAATCTACATTTGAACTATGGTGTTACATATTTAACCGAATATGCAATTATGCTACTTATTAGTAATAAGTAGTATAACGTTGAACAAAAAGGAAATGGAAATAAAGTACGGTTTAGAAAAGTTACCAAATTTATCGCGTCTCTTATCGTACAAGACCTCCTCAAATGGCCGTAAATACCAATTGTCAATACAAAAATATTGAGGGCTGAAATGATTTGTCTCCTAATCCAACAAACCAAAGATTTTCAATTCGAATTAAACTTTAATGGAAACAAGAAACACGTAGTTCAGCAAACAGTCTCATTTGGGCCAATTCATTTTCTTAGCTGTACAATCGCAAATATATATTATTTTGTATGCATGTGTATATTAAGTTTGTGAAACAAAAATACAATTGGTTGTGGTTATTTTAACTAAACAGGTGAATATTGGCAATTGTATTTACGTAATACAAAATCAGTCAAGAAAATTAGTTGTTAATGAAATTAGGGTAGTAAGAAAGGTGATGAGCTGTCACAAACAGTTGTTAAAAAGAAGTTGTTTAGTAATATGAATAGTTCGCTGAGTGAGTTGTTCTCAGGATACACATAGGAAGAAAGTAGAGAATACGGAATAACGTAAGAGCTCTGAACGAATACAAGAATTATAAACAATCAAAGAAACAGGTAAACAGAAAAAAATTAGTCATCAAAAATCAACAACGTTGTTGACATGATAGTAGAAGTGGTTGAGTAATTCGCTTTTGTATGCACAGCTCCAGTTTTTCTATGTGAATAGCCACGGCTTCAGGCATACAAAGAAGACGAAACCGTATTACCTTTGTTAGGTTATTCTTGACTGTGTAGATTACTTTGAAGGAGGTGTCTGTTGAGATGGAATGATCAATGTTAACCAGGTGTTCAATTATCTCATTCCTTATAGCAAGCATCATTATTGCATTTTCCCAACCATTCTGGATAGTGTTCTTGAATCCTCTTGGACAGGATGAGCGTTGAATGACGCGTGTACCTGGCTCCACAGCTGCATGTGAACTGATAGATATGCACATAGAAGTGGTCAGATGTGGGATCTGGTTCTTAAGGCTTCTGTAAATCAGTGGGCGACTGTAGAATACTATTCTTAGTGTTGCTGCAAACAGTGTTCTCCTTAGAGATAATGAGATCCTTCTCTTGAGAATATCGCTTGTTAAATCTCGCTTGGTATCCAAGTTCATGTTGAGTTTCTTTTTCAGTGCAATTGAAGTTGCATTTCTCCAAATTTTTGGTTTGATATTTTTATCAATGAATTTTGGTGGGTATCCATTTTGGATAAAAACTTCTCTCAAAAGATCTAATTCTGTGTCTAGAACATCAGGACTACAGACGCATCGGATTCGCGTAGCAAGGGATTTAATTAAATTCCGCTTTTGTTGAATGGGTACCCAGCTATAGAAGCTGGCTAGTTGACCATTCCAGGTGGCTTTTCAATGGATTGATCATCTTAAGGTCCCATCAGTTCTACTTGTTAGATCCACATCAACAAATGGAATTTGTGATTCCTTTTGCATTTTAAGAGTAAATTTTATTGCTGGTTGGCAGCAGCTAAATGTTTGCAGTAGTCGATTGGGGTCATTAGGGTCGTCAAAAATGATGAATATATGATGTGTGCATCTTTTATGCAGTCATAAATGTCAATGCTCGGCTTTAATGAACTTTTCTCGAGGCTTGCCACAAAACAATCTGATAGTAGTGGACCCAACGGAGATCCCATTGTAATACCATCTTTTTGTCTGTAGATGGTATCGTTGAAAGTGAACTGTAAATTCGGAGTGCATTTCAGTAGTAATTCCTTCAAATATGCTGTTGGTATTCCAACGCTGAGATGGTTCTCATCTGTATATTTACATATAAAGCAGACTGTTACCATGAGTGGGACATTGGTGAAAAGTGACTGTGCCGAAGGACAGCATAATTTTGTTAGGTACATTCAGGTCTTGTATGCAGTCGATGAACTGGAAGGTGTCACGAAGCGAATGCGTACATAATAGTTTCCTTACATGTTCCAGAATATCTGCCAGCCATTTTTAATAGAGTGGTAAGGGGAACCTGACATATCCAGAATTTGACGAAGTGGGAGACCAAACTTGAGTATGTTTGGTCGACCATAAAGTCTTGGTATCATTGAACCTGTTGGCCGGATCTGGTCATAGATATCGCCACTGATTAGTTGACTGACCTTCATTCTCTTCACGATGTCTGTGAGCTGCTTCTCAATCAGTTCGGTTTTGCTTCTTTCATTGGAAGGTTGGGGAAATTTATCTTCATAGTCTTTTCGATCCAGAAGCACTACACCGGCACCCTTGTCGGGGCGAGTTATTAGCAGATCTTTGTTATCTCTCATCTGTTTTAATTCCTCTTGGTGCCACTTTTTTATGTGGTTGCGGACTTCTGATTTTATATTCAAGTATTGGTGGCAGCAGTTCATGATTGTTGACTTGAATCTCTGTAATTTGTCTTCAGAATTCGAGATGAGATCGTTCGTTTGGCTGATTAGATTTTCAAACTGGACCTGAGTATGGAGTTTGTCGGCGTTAAAATTAAACTTGTTTTATCTACAATTGAATGTAGCAGAAATGAGGAGTCCATTAGATCCAATATCTCTGATATCTTCATTTCCCAACTAGTACATATAACCTTGAAATCTGCTGCAAACAAAAGTGCGTTTAATTCAAGCCAAAATAATGATTTAGAAATTCATTAATGTTTAATTCAAGCATCAAGTTGACATTGGAACATCAAGTCAAAAGTCAGCTGAATTCTTTTTCTTCGCTTTTTACATGAAAAGAAAAGAAGACAGAAATGAGGGATGGAGTATTCCTGCTAAACAACTTTTTGTTTTGAGTAACCTTTCAGATGATTAGTTAACCAAGTTTCATCGTGATGCATCGTGTCCCTCAATGGCACGCTGCATTGTTTCATAATGATATATTGACATTTCTTGTCTGAATACAGGGACACCGACATCTATGTGCATTTATTAGTTCAACTGCACCCGCGGTGACAGTGATCTTAGGCGTACTACTAGACAGCTTAGCCAACGTGTTAGTGAACATCTCCCATCGTGGTTTGGCAAAGGACAGACAAAAACAATCCGTAGCCCAATTCTGTCACATCTAATTGATAGTGGTCATGTAGTCGATAAAACGAAAGCCTTCAAAGTAATTCATCGTATCCCACCGAATCTTTCCAATAGACTTCGTATTCGTCTAGTGCACGCACACAGCTGAGGCAGGCGATAGACATTCGAACTATTAAACCTAAACTATGCATTCAAAACAAGTTCATACAGCCATTATCGCTCCCTTGTTGGCCTATTAAGACATAACCAACTGATGACTTCTACACCAACCCTTATTTATATTTCCAACCCCTTTCTTATCATCCCTTAATCTTATCACATCTTCATTACAAACGTGTCTCGTTTACTTCCCTTACAATCAGTCAAGCATTACTTAATCGGTTCATTTGTTTTTACTAGCCTTTATCGACTACTTCCACCTGAACAATTGTTTGTTTAATCATGCTGTTTTTCATTATTTGTGTTATCACAGATTGCCTTACTTTTTCATCCTTGTTATTGATAAAACCATTATTACTATTATTATTATTATCATTGCTACTATTATGACTAATTGCGCGATTTATATGCACCATCTTATTATCCTATAGACAAAACACCATGATTGGTTTATATTTGTATTTTATTTTTAAAATTATATATATTAGAGTTAAGCCTGATGACATCAAATTGAAGCCACAATACTGTTCGCTTAAATGTGTTGTTTTAAAAGTATATGTTGCAACTGTATCGAAATGCGGGTTGACGAAATAGACTCTGTTGTACAACTGAGTCATAATAACTTATATCAAAAATTTATAACTACCCTAACAGTGACATCCGGGCAACTATGCAGTCCAAAAGTTTCTCAGGAAAAGTAATACTTGATGAGAATCGTTAGGAATTTTCCCCACAAGATGGCATCCAAACTCTGTCTACAGGAATCGTAAAGAAAAAAGCATGTTTCCTGCAGACTTTGTAAGGCCAAATAGTCACTCCACTGCATAAGCTTGAATTCATTCAAACAAGAACGCAGTAGTAAAATGACACATTATTATCAACAGTCAACGATCACACAACAGCTAAGTGAGTTATTAAAAACGAGAATCAACCAAAAGCTAAGACAAATAGTAAGGATTATGCCTAAAAGGATGCACAAATGTTATCATGATGACATACAGATCAGAGTAAGGGATAATTACAAAATTATTTGAATATTCAAATAAGTGTCAATGCTGTAGATAAATTTTACGTCAAAGTTAAACTTTAAGCACCACTAATAACCAATCAGCGAATGACCTTGAACGCACCAATCATATTAAGGAGGCATCTTTGGGCACGGAATACACATATTGATGTTTAAAAAAATTCATAAAAACTGTATAAGAGTATCACATAGAATATCTTTCTCTCAAATGTGATAAAGAAACTCCCAGTTTAGTATAGGACTATCAATGGGAAAGTTACATCACATCGCATACATATATCCATACATATATTCATATGAATAACTATAACATCAATTTGCGATCCATAAATGGTTCTAATCCTGTTTTTAACCTTCTCCAAAAGCCTTCGATAGAAGTTAATAATAATTTGCTTTATTCCAGAAATAGTACTAGTGGTACAGTGTGGAATTTTCAGCACATATCTACAATATTGCATCTAATTTCATCGCACATTTAAAGGGAGTATTTCAAAAAGTAAATATAAAAAGACAACAACAACAAAAACAAAAAAATGCGAAAAAATACCAAGAAGTAGAGTGGAAAATAGACAACATAAATAATATCTCAGTATTGGGTGGTGGAAGCTATGATATATGTATGCGTGGTGAACAGTAACAGCTATAATCATACAAGAAGTTATGAAATGCTCTTAAGAATGTTTATAGCCAAGATGATCGGTTAATTTGATTGAACTACACTAAACAATCATAAAATAACATTTCAGGTTCTTTTATTGTCAGCTCTAATGGGGTGTTTGTAGTGGTGGTGTGCGTAATCCTGCATAATACAAAATTTTTAAGATGGTGATAATGGCATTCACAACCAAGATTGTCAGTTTAATATTGCCGAACAAAAAAAACAATTACAAAACTAATATCACATGAAGGTTATTGACAGGATAATTTTGTAATACTCATAGTGATAATATAGTCAGGACCAGTAGATACACAAAAAGAAGCAATAGAATAAACTATAAAAAAGTAAGCCAATGTTAATAATTTTAGGTAGCTAAGTATGTTTAAGAAGGTTGTTCACTATAGAATACAAATAAGAGAGAATAAAGGAGAAATTAAAGGGCCAAAATTATGTTATTAACAACAAAGCAAGTCATAGGTTTCGCGCTTAACACTGTCTCTGTCACGGGCCAAATATGGTGTGGGTACCTGCAATGGGGTCCACAAAATCACTTCAATGGTTGTGTCTGTCGTGAAAATTTTTTTTTTGATTACAGTTTGATTCCAAGGAATGGCAAGGAGGTACAACACTTCCACTCATTTGTGTATATCATAGGTATTTTTCACCAGTCGAGTAATATTGGGTATTAAAGTACATTACTTTCTATTTGCTATGCTCTCGACGAATCCTTTCTGTAGGAATGTATTAGGCAAACCAATCACGCAAAAAGTATTTGCTCGTCCTCGAGCATGGTTGTAGTTTTTCCTAAATAAGACAGTTTCATCGACATGTACGACGGCAACTCCTCCCAATAAGGAGCTAGTCCTCTTCAATTTCCGAGATACCATGTCCCTTCAGCGCTCGTTCCACTGAACTGTTGCTATGAGACAGTTTTCATTTTCAGCAGTTGCACCTCTCACAGGCTGTTTTAAAACCCATTAATTATAAATGTACAAATCCGGGTTAAGGAAAGACAGGATCTGGCGAAAAAAAATTTCTAATCAAATATTAGAATCTTCAGCCTGCCTTCCCTGACACTAACTTGTCTCAAACAAACTGCACAATGATGCACATGTCCGTCAAGAGACCTGCTGAAGCTTTTTATGATCATCACATATTTACATGAATAAATGCTTTCTTTCCTAACCAACCCCACATACAAGTAATACTGGAAGACTTGATCCTCACCAAATTGTAAACGCAACCAAGTTGGAGCAGGCATTTGACTCGAATCAAACGGAATAGACGCTTCAGCTCACGTGAATAAAACTCATTGGACCATACAAGGTTAATGATGCGGTAGCAGACCATTGAAAGTTAGTGGTACTTAAAGTTTTACTTGGCCAATTTTCCATTGATGGATTTTCGGATCATTTATCCTGCAACACTAATCACCGAGATAACACAAATCGAAATCAACTAGGCTATCAGTAGACAACAGGAATGACTTTATTGGTTTCTTCGCCTTTACTTGTAAATAGATATCAGTAGGCGCCAATGATCCGGTGTTTGACTGAGTTCATCATGATCTTCTAGTCTCAGTGTTCAGCTAGTCATTTAATCACTGGGTCGAAATGCAGTAAATCACGCTATTTATTTTTAAATTATTTATGATAACATGAAATATCGTCGATGAATAGGTCTCTTCATAATTTATTAAGTTTTTTAAGTCTTGTGAGAACTCAGTGAATACATTCCATTTTATCTTGCGAAAATGTGCAATTCCAGTAGGCACGACACTAAGTATATCATCTATTTTATTTAATCGTATGACAAAAACTACGCTTGATCTATCTGTCTATCGATCGCTTATCTTCAATTTGAAACTGTACATGATTGATTTATTTTTAATGATAGGTATGTTCAAGGTAAGATAAACTCAATCATATCTGTTCTAATTGACGAAAATTTTGATATAACTTATTTATTTTGACTAACTAATCATTGCTGATTTTTTTAAAATCCTGAATTCTACTTTTGGCCTGCACGAAAGTAGATTTTGACTGATGTTAAGATGCAGTGAAATATTTTTATAAGTCATTTAATGTTTTTAATTAAATTCCTCCTATAATTTTTTGAGTTCTATATAAAATGTCTAATGTCACATGCAGCTTTATCAGTTGACTACAGTGCCATCTATCGTTATAATTAAACAGTGTTAACACAGATTTTCAATGTCTGAGGAAAGTGGGTTCTGCATTTTTCAACAGGAAAAGTTACACACAGGTCGAAGAGTACTGAATACACCTTATTGGTTATTAGATATAACATATGACAAACTAGTAGATAAATGATATTCACGCAACCATAGTTTGACTGATTATACACCTTTGAAATGGTGGAGATCAACAGTGTTTTAGACTAATTACCCGGTGTTGTACAAGTATGTTCATTGCACATTAATTTCAAAGTACCAAGCATATTACCAGTTTTTGTTTGCTCCAACTAAGTCTTCTCAGTTTTTCTTTTTAATGTCTTCTCTGGGAGTGTGCAGATTCTGAGGCTGTTCCATTAATTAAATATTCCGACTACGATAATTCCTTTAGTTTCAATGAAATATTAAAAATATATAAGCTTTAGATGCCATCAGATTCGTCCAATAACAGAGGCAATCGCCCAGCTTTTTTCTAAATTACTTATCTTATCGGAGTCAACCATTCTTCCCTTAGCTAAATTCTTATGTTCCAACAATCTGACCACTCCGGATCTACCCACAGTCATTGCAGGGTATCTTGTAAATTATATTATTTTGTTTAATTGGGTCCATCGGGTCTTTTAGCCTACATAGCTTGTCTCTGAGTGAGTTTGTAGGTTTGAATGCCACCCTAATTCCTGCTTTATTGAGAATCCCACGTAGGGTTTCAGATGTCCCCCCCTTATGTGGTATAACATTAGATGACTTATATTCTCTCTTATTTGTTATCACTACTAGTTTCACAATTATTTCTATTTTTATTTTGGCCTTTACTGATCTTCCTAATGAATTTTACAGGATAGTTATTGGATACCAACACTTCTTCTATCTGTTCTGTTTCATCATTTAGGTCTTTTTTGTGCTACTCAGTGCTACTGGTCGATTTGTTAAGCACTTAACTAAGCCTGCCTTAACAGTTAACGGATGAGATGAATTAAAGTCTAAATATCTATTAGAATGTGTTGGTTTTTTATAAACGCTAGTGTGTAGTTTACCTTCTTCTATTCGTCTTATCTTACAATCTAACCTAGCTAATTCTCCTTGTTCATTTTCCAATTCAAATGTGAATTTTATTCCCTGTACTAGTGAGCTTATGTGTGTCAAGAAGCTAGATATATGTTCTGTTTTTAACACTTTTTTTCTCAGACTACTAAATATTACTGAGTAGCAACAATAAGTTTATAAAAGTTTTAGACCTTCGACTTCGTTTTCTGTTTCTATAACAGTGGGATGATGTATCGTCTTCGCCTTATTATTTAGTTTTCTAATTATTTCTATTATTGAGATTATTATCGTTTTAAGATGGCAGTCATTTATAGTCACTCATGTGGCCATAACAAAATTCACGTAGACTGAATATAATATTAGTAGGCATGTACATATCTCTATTTCATTTTGTTTTGAATAGAATCAAACATTTAGGAAAAAATTATCTTCAGATTTCTTTTGATTCTTTATAATTTTTTTATACCATTTTGTAAATCCTTCAGTGAATTCATTAATTTTCAAACTTGAATGGTTATTTGGATTACTTGATATATTTTGTACTATTTGGAATGGCGTTTCGAACTTATAATTATGCTTAATTGACATTAAAGGAATACGCCTAATTAAATGTTAGAAATATGTCATCTTGCGTTTAATTCAATCCGCATCTCAGTTATATAGAAGGTTTAAGTCATAACACCAATCTCAAGTTAGTCACTTCTATACGGGTCAGAAACGTGTACTGCGTGTTATGAAAAGGTTGCAGACTTTCATCAACAGCTATCCCGTTCACTCCATACTGAAGATCAAATGGCCAGAAAGAATTGGTAACACAAAACTCTGACAACAAACCAACCAAGAGTTAATCGCTCAACAAATATATAGGAGAAAATGGAGACGGGTCGGGCATACATTGAGGAGACCGTCGAATGACATCGCGTGTTATGCAGGCCATTACTCGAGTGGAATCCCAATGGGAAGTGACAAATGGGTCGTCAGTGGGAGGATGACATGAATGAGATCGTTTGAGGAGGAGAAGATGAGTGATTACGGGCGATTGTGGACCCAGCTGAAGGGGAGAGCAGAGAATAGAATAAAGTGGAAATGTGTTGTTGAAGCCGTATGTTCCACTCGGAACACAAGGGAATAATAATATAATAAGTCATGGCTAGGCGATATTAGATAGTTCAGTGTATAAGAAGTTGAAGTAATGCAAATCTGTACGATCCCTACTTTCGATTAGTATTCCACGGCTGTTTACAACTTTCAACGGTACTATCACCATCCAGATATCTTTATCATGTGGTGAACTCAAACTATGCAGAATTTATAAATAATTTTTTATTTAACGGCAAAATATGATAGTTAATAATATGGATCCATTTAAATTACAATCTGAATAAATTAAGGAACCAATGTCCACGTTTCGAAAATAAATAAAAACTTGTTACAAAAAAATTTGCGGTTCATGAACCTTCACTAGACTTATTACTAGATATCCTTGACTATATTGACCAAATAAGCTAAAATGGAGGTCAAAAATAGCATAAAACTTACAGATCTTTAGAAAACCAAAAACCTGAAAAAAAATTCCTTTTTAGACCCATTTCGTAGTGTCCATAATTTTTCCTGTGTTACGCTAGATAAATTCCGCTTAGTGTTAATATTACTGGGTCTTTAATTTTGTGACTAAGGTCATAAGATGGAGCATTTTGACACCAATATTCAGTGCGAAAACTTATATCTGTAAACAAAAGAGTTGATCTCATTGTCAGACTATGCATGAACTGGCTAATTTAAAAACAACACTAGTGGATAGTTGTCAGCAAATATAAAAATTGTAGTTGTTCTAACACAAGCCTGCTGACTATGTAACATCCAGAAGTTGTGAATAAGTTAATATATGATGAAAACGTCATAATTAGTAGGCCAGATAAAAGGACAGGGGCAGTAGTCATAAAAAAAATGTATGCTGACAAAATGAATTCGCTTCTAAGTTTAACAACTCAACGGATTTAAACGGAAGGGCTATAAAGCAGTTGACAGACACATTTAAGGGATTCATTAGAAAAGTAGAGTGATCTCTAAGGTTATCTAAAATCTACTTAGACATACTGGTAATTGTATGTCACGATTGTATGGTTCACCTTAATTACATAATTTAGGACTGCCTCTTTGTCCAGTTCTAGGCATTGCAGTTTCACCTAGTGGAGAGTTAGTAGCAAAGTGATTAGTTGAACTTTTGCAATGATTGCATAATAATATAGTGAATCATAGTGTTGAAGACGTCTTCGAATTCAATATATTTTCAGCTCAACATATTTCTTTAAATGAAGGTTAACATTGTTTTTCTTTTCCTAATATAGCTATTTCATGTATTATTCATCCATTATTTATGGTGTATAAACTCATCAAACGAAGACTTTATTCATGAGACAGATGAACATATCTATTTAAAAATTCCGCATGGTATACCAGTACAATATCAATATCCAATGAGAGCTGGTTTCCCCCCGGGTACATTGGGGACAGAAATAAGCGCTTTAATTATACCACCAGAAAATAATGCAAAAAGTGAATTAATATCTTTATATAAAAATATTACTGAATACAAAGAATTAATTGATACAAATAAAACGAGAATAACAGATTTTCATTTTAAATTTTATGAAAGTTTAGTTAAACTGTATGATAAACAGTTGAATGCAAAAGAGTATAATAAAAAAATTTTCAATAATTTAGTATTGAAACCATCGAATGCAAGATTACAATTTATGATGTATTATTGCACAGCACGATTGGAATTCACTAAAAATTTAACTGATGATATCTTTATTAGTTCTGTCACTTCTCAGCCGATGACTGACTTAGCGAATATTGGTAATGTTGCTCCTGAGACGACTGTTACTCCTGAGATGACTGTTTCTCCTGAGATGACTGCTGCTCCTGAGACTACTGCTGCTTCTGACGACGCTGCTTCTGCTGCTGCTGCTGCTCCCAGTGTTGTGGCTCCTTCGAATGCTGTAGTTCCTGTAAATGCTAATATGTCTTCTAATTCTACTGCTCCTTCTAATGCTACTGTTTCTTCTGGTGATTCTATTCGTCCTAACATTAGTATATCTCATACTAAAACTCTTGATGTTAATACCACTGGTCCCCTTAATAAGACATCAACTAAAAAAAGACCTATATTAAGTAGCCAATATGATATTCATCAGTTTTGTCCTAAAGCATGTGCATATCGTGAAGGTTCAGGATTCAGTGATGAACACAGATCTCAATTGAATCGTTATAACAATCTGTGCAATTTCCCTGCATATTTTACGTCAACTTTATCAAAACGATGCAGTGAAGAAAATTACCGTAAGTTATTATTGTATTGCATGATTCTATATATTAATAAGTTAAGAGTAAAAAGGTTTAATTAAGTTTTTCGAAGTAAAAATGACTTTTTGTTGTTAGATCGACTGGAAAGAACTTAGATAATTCTTCCACGCATGCAATGAAGCTCTAAGTTCTACACATTAATCGGAAAGCTAAGTTAGCAGAAAAACCTTTATTTTTATGGACTTTGCTAACTAGAATACAATGCAATGCAGTGTAATTAATTCACTTGTCTATTCAGAAAATTTGTAGAATATATAAATTTCATTTAAATAACTATTGCTTTATTGTTATAAGAATTAGAACAATAGTTACTGTTTAAAAGGAGTTAGATGATGAAATTACTAAATAAGTAGTTTTACTAAAAAATGTATTAGCTAAAAATACATTTTTCAATGTAGATGTGTATTTCACCACCTCAATCGCATAGAAAGACAGAAATCACACATATTATCTTGATTCAATTCACTTTCATCACTAATCAAGTTTTCACAAATATGGCGACTGAAAAGTGTACTTGTCTAAGTTCTTCATATTTCTTTTTCTTTATTGTTTTGTTTGTCCAACATAAATATATCTTTTGATGATATTAAATAGTTGGAGGCAATCGGCAGGAAGCCTTCCACATAGGTTTCGTGCTAGTTGGCACTCATAAGTCAGCAAGGCGTAACTGTGACTGCCTTGAAGGAACTCATGTCCCTTCTGAGATTCGGACCCACCTCACCCAGTACTGCAGTCAGAGACGATACCACTGAGCTATTCGAGCTCGCCATTGACCTCCTGTAGGACTGTAGGGGGTGGTTTGATTGGACACTAGTAACTAGCGTGACGTGTCTAGTCCTTTCTTTAGTGCAGACTGAATTGTATCAGTCAGATTTTGCAGTGTGGCCACCATATCTTGTCATATGAAATATTTGTAATCCTATTATTTTATGAATAATCAGAGACTGTTGTTTCTTTTTTTGGTGTTTGTTCAATAAACAAAAACTTTATTGAGAAATATTAGTTGATACTGTTATGACCGGAACCACGACGGCCTAGTAGACTATAAGCGAATACTAACTTAATGCGCTGAGTGATCTATCCTAATCTCACGTCAACAACAACCCTACCGTCTGGCCTCAAACATAGAAGAAAAGACTGGACGTTGATAAGAGAGCTTTCACCGTCTCAAAGCAACAGTCGAAATAGGGTTATTAGTGTTTGCGTAAATCTATGTATGTTTAAAAGGATCTTGAGAAGCACTAATGTAACTGATATACTAAGATAGTGAACAGTCAATATGATTTCAAATGCCATAATTAGTGTGAGAGAAAATTTTGTCATAAATCAATAAATAGGGTGAGAGAAATACAAAGGGATATGTAAAAATGACTCGTAGAAAATTAGGTCTATATGTCACGTTGGATTTACAATAATGGTAACTTGAAATGATCTATACATGTGCGTACTGATAAGGAGTCACAAACTAGGACGAAACAGCTGTCCAGTACTCTCAGGTTTTCCAGTGGTTCTCCAAATGATGTCAGCTCATGATGGAATCCTCCATTCAGTCAAACAAGATCCCTACAAAACTAATATTTGAGAATTAATCTGATGCTCACTAGTGACTGGCCCTATTCGGGCAGTTAACCTGGGGTTCTAGTGGGAAGCCGTGACCAGTAGGGTACAGCAGGTTGAAGATGAGGCAGTAACTCATCGAAGAAGACATGGTGAAATGGTCGCACTATGTCGTTAAATGGTAGAAGTTAGAATTCGTGTACTGGCCATTGGATCGAGTCCCAGTGGCTGAATGATCTACGAGCTCTCCTTGTAACCAGAGGGTCCTGGGTTTAAACCCTGACGGTGGGTGCGTACTGTGAGGAGTCCCAAATTAGGACGGAGGAAACAGCTTTCCAGTAATCCCAGGTTTTCCAGTTGTTCTCTAAGTGATGTCAGCTCATGATGGAATACTCCATGCAATCAAACAAAATCCCTACAAAACCAATACTTGAAAAAAATATATATACATGCAACAATGTCTACCTGTCTATAGTAGACTACATAAAATGTGCTGGCATCATTATTCTTCATCCTGTCTCATGGGTGAACTCAGTTTTCCTTCTTTTAAGATATAATAATTTGAGTGTTCAAGTTAACAGATGACGGGAAGAAAACGTGGAGCTTTCCAATGTGCATAAAATCATAATGGGTAGTGTCAATGAAATCCTAGTTATTATTAAGATCATGAACTTGTGAAACCTTCCAAAGCTAGAAGAGGTAATGATAAGCCTTAGACTATAAAATCAATATATTACAAGAAATAACACACAATGTATATTTCAACTGTGAATTTGGAAGACCTTTTCATTCGTACTGTGGTCTGAATAATTTCAGTTTTTAAAGGTAACTATGTGAAGATTTCACCTCACACTATGTAATTCGCCAATTACGAATTTCATTCCTTATATAACGATAGAAGACAAAGAACTTGGTAACCAAACGTTTATTTGAAATCAGGTACCTCTCTATTGGCAAAATAGGGTACGTCTTATGTGAAAGTCATCATTTGCACAGATCTTCCGTATTGTGTTTCTTTGTCTTCTTTTCTTGTTTCCCATTGTTTTGCCGTAACGCTGAATCATTTGCTTTCTTCGGTGTCAAATCTATCTCTTCGGCATTTGAAGTTTTAATGCCAATGAACGTCTCCTCACATACTACTGATAAATCTTATCAGTAGATCACGCTACACATATACCGTCAATTCATTTAATATCTAGGCAGAACTCAGGTGGGTTAAACTGATTCGTCTGTCTGAGCTGGTGACCTCGGCCCAGAACAACCTTAATGACGATCCGGTGTTTCGGGCACTTTTATCTGGCCAGCAGTTAACACTGGTTGATGCCAGTGGTATCCAGCTGCCCCTATCAGTTAGTGGTATACGCCATCGTGTATTATTTCGACTAGAATGAATATAAAAATTTCAACCACCTGATATCTATGGTTGGCCTGCGAAATTTGGGCTACCGATATCCATGCTGAAAATTCCATACCTGTACCAAAAATATGGTGTGGAATCAAGCTGCAACCAAAAATAAAAAATAAAAAAAATAAATAACCAGAGTAAGTGCTATCAGTGGTGCACTGTAGCTGATTTAGTCCAATTTATATTGAATACCGAAATATGTGGTGTTCAAATGAAAAGACTCATGTTTCATATAACAGATGAATAGTTCACAAACATCTAGCTCCATCTACCCACCTCTCTAAGCTAATTAATTTCTCAACCCACTGAATAGTCTAAGAATAAACTTTCTAATAAAAAACCTTTCCGTTTTATGCTCTTTTATATCATTGCTTATTAAAGAACAAATAAAAACTGACCATCACCGAATCAACTGATGCGAACTACGCACTACATGAGCACATATGAAGAGCACCCGGACAATATATATATATAAATGAACACGATTTTGACCCAAATACTTAAGTCTGGAAGGAGGAGAGCAATTCCACTGGTCTGCATTCGAATTGTTATTATTCGTTGTATTACGAATCTGTATGAATAAAACTTTCTGACATTCTAAACAATAATATTTCTAAATGTTTATCATAAGTAGAATACATTTCTAACCAATGTCTACTCCAGTGTTTATAATTGCCTAAGGTATTGTTGACTTCCAAGACGATTAGTGTACGTCGGTGGCACAACGGTTAGGACGCTCGCCGCCCATGCACGTGTTTCGAGGTTCGGTCCCCAGCCGATGCACTCCTTTACCTCGCCAAGCCAGTATTGAGACTGGTAAAGGGGAAAGATTGGGCATGAGGCTAGCAACCCTATCTTGTAAAAATTAAACACTGCTACAGAAACTTCAAGCCTCCAGCTTGAAGCCTTATGTTCCACTGGGAACGTGAAGGGAAAAAAAAGAGGAATAAGGGTGGCCAAAACAAAACATGAAACTAAGCCATACTAGTCCTATGGGTCCCGAATGGAATATAAGGCTTCAACAGAATATCTTTATTTCATCCCGTCGTTTGCTATCCTCTTTAGATAGCTTCACGACTTACCATAAGCTCTTCTCCCCTCTTTACACGATCTTCTGCATGTCACCCTTGGACACATGATCGACTTGTCCTTTCCCATTTGATTTGTGGTACTCCGTGGTGTTGAAACAGCTTTCAAATTACTTGACGGTCATTGCTGTTGAAGGCCTTTCCAAACCCGATGAAGTTGATATGGAAATTTGACTTCCATTCTATCTTCTGTTTGATTATGATGCATAGTGATGATATTTGGTCTGCACATGATTCGTTTTCCCTGAATCCATCTTGTTCTGGCTGGTGTTTGGCACAACTAAGCGATACAAATCTTAATTTTTGGTTTTATTGCATACATAGAATATAACGTTTATGAATGAGATTTACGCATATCCATGAGGGGCTGTTGAAGAAGCACGATTGTTATAACCTTTCATCTTTATATAAAAATGTTCACTATCCTATTAGCATGTATTCCTTTTTAATTTATTTCTTCTCTCTGGATTAAATATTTTTGTGGAATCATTACTTTCTATTTTTTTTAATCATTCATCCAAAGCCCACATGATGATCCAGAGGTTAAAATATTAAGTCTTTACTTCTTTCACATGTTAGTTATATCATATTTGAGTAAGTGTATCGGGTGGAGCGTTGAGCCCAAAGAAGATTAATATTTCAGTTTAAAACAACACATTTAAGCGAACAATATTGTGGCTTCAATTAGATCTCATCAGGCTTAACTCTAATACGCATAAGTTTACAAATGAAAATTCAAATATAAACCAATCATGGTGTTTTGTCTATAGGATAATAAGATGGTGCATATAAATCGTGCAATTAGTCATAATAGTAGCAATGATAATAATAATAATAATAATGGTTTTATCAATAAAAAGGATGAAAAAGTAAGGCAATCTGTGATAACACAAATAATGAAAAACAGCATGATTAAACAAACAATTGTTCAGGTGGAAGTAGTCGATAAAGGCTAGTAAAAACAAATGAACCGATTACGTAATGCTAGACTGATTGTAAGGGAAGTAAACGAGACACGTTTGTAATGAAGATGTGATAAGATTGAAGGATGATAAGAAAAGGGTTGAAAATATAAACAAGACGTGGTGTAGAAGTCATTAGTTGGTTATGTCTTAATAGGCCAACAAGGGAGGGATAATGGCTGTATGAACTTGTTTTGAATGCATAGTTTAGGTTTAATAGTTCGAATGTCTATCGCCTGCCTCAGCTGTGTGCGTGCACTAGACGAATACGAAGTCTATTGGAAAGATTCGGAGGGATACGATGAATTACTTTGAAGGCTTTCGTTTTCTTCACTACATAACGACTATCAATTAAATGTGACAGAATTGGGCTACGGATTGTTTTTGTCTGTCCTTTGCCAAACCATGATGGGAGATGTTCACTAACACGTTGGCTAAGCTGTCTAGTAGTGGCGTGTCCAACATAACTGTCACCGCGGGTGCAGTTGAATTGATAAATGCACATAGATGTGGCAAAACTATCTAGCTTATCCTTCATTTGCGTCCCAATCATTCGTTGGCTAGAGAATGACAAACATAGATATGCTGCGTAAAACGTTCTTCGTACACTCCTGGATAGTCTCTGGAACAAAGTCTCAGTTTAAATTTTTGTTTTGTATGCCAACAGAAATAAGATACATACAGTATCTACTTAATTACGTAATTGATTAATTTTATCTTAATATTAATCACACCTGTAGCTGACTGGCAGAATTTATAATTTCTCCCCATGGTTATACAGAATTCCGAGCAGATTATTGTTGAAATGATATAAAAGTGCTTGCCATTGAGTCGCATATGTATGCTCATATATAATTGAGAAAAGTGGTGAAACAATCGGTCACATTTAATTGGTGGATGGTGACTAACAGTGGAATCCAGGATGCGCATTTCTTCCTATTTGAGTGTACCTGCATTTCCCTAATGATTGATGATATCCCCACCGAGGCTCGTACCCAGTGCTCATAGTTTCAAACGCCAAAGCGTTATCCACTAGACCACAAGGGCCACGAGAGCCACCTCTTGTGCAATGGGTCATATTAATCTTAATTGAATTTTAGATTTTCCTGTCACATTTACAAAGTGTGGTAAGTAAATAAGAAAAAAACAAACTCTGAGGTATATACCACAAAGTGGATAGATAGTTGACGTTAACGTCAAGGTCAATCAATACACGATGAATTAATTTTTTTCAAAATATTTCTGGCCACAACTTTTTTTTCAATTTTAAGAAATCCATCAACCAACCATATGTCCAGAATAGCATGTTTAAACTTTTCTGTAATAGAAAGAATAGTATCAATTTTTTTTGATTTCATTATTATTTTTTGAATTAGTTGGATTAGTCCACCTTCAAAGTTTTAAATGTGAATGTTCAGCTGGTTTTGTATGGAAGGAACAATTAAAATCTTGTTATTTGCCATATGGATGGCGTCAGAAAGCTGAAAGGTTGAAGACTACAGTCAGCACAAGAAGAAATGATCGTTTTGAATACTTTAAGGAAAATAAATGTTCACGTATTGGAACAAAATCTATTCTTCCAATTGAAGCGAATACAAAATATGCTAAACAACAAAATCGTGATATACTGTATCATACTGAAAGGTGTATTTGCAAAGATGAATTCTATGGAACATATTGTGATAAAGTAAACAAAATTCGATTGGTTATTCAAATTTGTTTTTTTCCATTGCAAAATGTACTAGAGTTTGTTTTTTGGTGTACAGTGAATACACAGTTTTTTGTTCAACGAACAAATTTCTTTTCAACGGCTTTATTTTCAAGCTGTATAGTCGTATTTATATTATAGAAAAAGGTTATTAAGTGGCAATAGATAATTGCTCAGTCGGTATATATATATATATATATATATATATATATATATATATATATATATATATATATATGATAAGAATAACCATAATTAAAATGTTATAAGGGGTAGAGATGAAGTGGATGAATTACAACGTTTGACATTTAAAAGAAAATTTTTGATATCAATTCACTTATAAAACAATCTTTAATAATTTTGTAATTCATCCACTTCAACCCTACCCCTTATAACATTTTAATTATCGTTATTCTTATCACTTACATATGTTCTTTGCAGCAAAATTGCATATGACTTTAACGAGCCGCAGATTGTTCTCTACCTCTGTAAAAGATAAGCTCCCCCGTCTGGCCACCTCCATGTGCATCTATCAGTTCACCTGCTCTTGTGGAGCAAGGTACATTGGCCGTAGTCAGAGGACGCTTTCCACACGGATACGAGAACATATTCCAGCAATATGGTTTTACAAGGGAGAAGGGAAGTGTGTGCGAAGCTCTATTCTGGAACATCTGATCGACTTCAGTCACTCCGTCAACCCTGACCATGATTTTAAGATCATATATAGAATCCATGCTAACTTCCCACGTTTTCTTCGTTACAGACTTATAAAGACAGCTGAGGCCTTGGCAATTCATGACTTTAAGCCAGACCTTTGTGTATAAAAGAAGTATGTGCAATTCCTACTTCTGCCTTGGACGTAGAGGGATAGACACTTACTTATTTTGTTTATTTAGTTATTCTGTGTACTTTTCCCTTATTACTTCGATTATTATTATTGTTATTATTACTATTCTCACTATGAATCTTTCCCACTTGACCCACTTGTCATTTTAAACCCAAAATAATTGATTTTTATATTGCATGGAGGATTTGATCATGAGCTGACATCAGTTAGAGAACCACTGGAAAACCTGGGAGTACTGGACAGCTGTTTCGTCCTAGTTTGGGACTCCTCAGCAGTACGCACCCACCGGGATTCGAACCCAGGACCTTCTGGTTACAAGGCGAGCTCGTAGACCATTGAGCCACTGGGACCCGATCCAATGGTCCTTGAATTCTAACTTCTGCCAGTTCACGACATAGCGCGACCACTTCGCAATGTCTTCTTCGATGAGTTACTGCCTCATCTTCAACCTGCTGTACCCTACCGGTCACGGCTTCCCACTAGAACCCCAGGTTAACTGCCTGAATAGGGCCAGTCACTAGTGAGCATCAGATGAATTTTTAAGTATTGGTTTGTTGTAGGGATTTTGTTTGATTGCATGGAGGATTTGATCATGAGCTGACATCAGTTAGAGAACCACTGGAAAACCTGGGAGTACTGGACAGCTGTTTCGTCCTAGTTTGGGACTCCTCAGCAGTACGCACCCACCGGGATTCGAACCCAGGACCTTCTGGTTACAAGGCGAGCTCGTAGACCATTGAGCCACTGGGACCCGATCCAATGGTTCTTGAATTCTAACTTCTGCCAGTTCACGACATAGCGCGACCACTTCGCAATGTCTTCTTCGATGAGTTACTGCCTCATCTTCAACCTGCTGTACCCTACTGGTCACGGCTTCCCACTAGAACCCCAGGTTAACTGCCTGAATAGGGCCAGTCACTAGTGAGCATCAGATGAATTTTTAAGTATTGGTTTGTTGTAGGGATTTTGTTTGATTGCATGGAGGATTTGATCATGAGCTGACATCAGTTAGAGAACCACTGGAAAACCTGGGAGTACTGGACAGCTGTTTCGTCCTAGTTTGGGACTCCTCAGCAGTACGCACCCACCGGGATTCGAACCCAGGACCTTCTGGTTACAAGGCGAGCTCGTAGACCATTGAGCCACTGGGACCCGATCCAATGGTTCTTGAATTCTAACTTCTGCCAGTTCACGACATAGCGCGACCACTTCGCAATGTCTTCTTCGATGAGTTACTGCCTCATCTTCAACCTGCTGTACCCTACTGGTCACGGCTTCCCACTAGAACCCCAGGTTAACTGCCTGAATAGGGCCAGTCACTAGTGAGCATCAGATGAATTTTTAAGTATTGGTTTGTTGTAGGGATTTTGTTTGATTGCATGGAGGATTTGATCATGAGCTGACATCAGTTAGAGAACCACTGGAAAACCTGGGAGTACTGGACAGCTGTTTCGTCCTAGTTTGGGACTCCTCAGCAGTACGCACCCACCGGGATTCGAACCCAGGACCTTCTGGTTACAAGGCGAGCTCGTAGACCATTGAGCCACTGGGACCCGATCCAATGGTCCTTGAATTCTAACTTCTGCCAGTTCACGACATAGCGCGACCACTTCGCAATGTCTTCTTCGATGAGTTACTGCCTCATCTTCAACCTGCTGTACCCTACTGGTCACGGCTTCCCACTAGAACCCCAGGTTAACTGCCTGAATAGGGCCAGTCACTAGTGAGCATCAGATGAATTTTTAAGTATTGGTTTGTTGTAGGGATTTTGTTTGATTGCATGGAGGATTTGATCATTTTATATTTTTTATTTTTTATTTTTATATTTTTATTTTTAAAATATTGAATTCTATATTATTAAATTTCACACCATGTTATGTAACATTTTATATTCGTCTACTAATCATATAATTATGTATACCTTTCCAAAATATATACACCTCATGTATTATTCTATATTTGACATTAATTATTTTGCCACTTGACATTAAACTATGATTATAATCACAGATATTTTAATTGCATTTCATACCATTATTATTTTGTGTGTGTTGAGAGCAGGCTGCTAGCCAATTGGTAGACATTAATTTACTTCAATGTCTAGGTCACTTATATTGGCCGTGAGAAAATATGAACAAGGCTGATTCAACAACCAGTCACAGCAGACTTAACGTGGGCAAATAAGATTCGTAGATATGTGGCTTAACTTTCCAAGAAACCAGAAACAACCAATCAGAAGACTGCTGTTGTCTGCTTGAATAAGCTATAAAATGTACATGAAATATATATAAATAAATGCTGATTTCCGTAATAAAACGATCTGTTACCTGTCCCTTGTCTTCTGTTGTTACACATGTATTCACACATCTGACCTAATTCCCTCACCGGATATAATTTTTAGAAAAACAACCATATATATACGATTTTACAACTTGATAAATTCATTGAAAAGTCTCTTTGATGAATATTGTGTTCTTAATGCTACAATGGGAATTATTAACTTATATATGTATATTGACTGAGCAATTATTTAGTGCCACTTAATAACCTTTTTCTGTAATATAAATACGACTGTACAGTTTGAAAATGAATTCGTTGAAAACTGTGTTTTTACTTATGAATAAATGGGTATTTTTGATGATGAAAGTTAAAATACTACATAACTGAATACTCTTCTAAAATTGTGGTTCTCTCAGTGAATATTTGGAATTTACACTTTAGTATTTGATTGTCGTAATAAGTGTCACATTCCAATCAAACAATATTATTTTTGGTGAAGTTAAAGTATCACAGACACAGTCAAGGTCTTTCAAAAGTTGACCTTCAAGAACCAACTAGACACAGGGATTGCTATGAAAAGTCATTTTAAATCAAGTCATGCCTGTCTTTTTGGACTTAGAGAGGATGCAAACATTATTCTACTCATTTACAAGGTACTTCTGCTGCAAATCTACACTGTTAGGTGGAGTTATGGCTTTCAAGATTAAGGTTTAGGGTCTAGAGTTATGGTTAGGATTAGGGTTCAACTTAGTATCAGAAGTTAGGATTATGGTTGGAATTAGGAGTAGCTTGAGGAATAGTGTTAGAAATATCAATGGACCTCAAAGTACCATGGATGAATGGGTATATTGCACATGGTACGACTTCTCGATAAATCGTCTATGTATTGAGTGGGAAGCATTCTTACAACACATAAGCTACAACTATACATTGAAATATCAAGTTTACAATACCTTTTAGTGTATTTTTCAAGGATTATGTGACTTTTTTGCTGCTGAGTTCTAATTGGTTGCTCAAAGTCACTGTGGTTTTGACTATAATATTTTATACGAGTTGATCACGGACTGATATCAGTTAGAGAACCATAGAAAACCAGGGAGTACTGGACAGCTGCTGTTTCATCCTAGTTTTGGAATTATCAGCAGTACGCACTCACTGGGATTCGAACCCAGGACCTTCCGGTTACAAGGGAAGCTCGTATACCATTCAGCCACTGGGACCCGATTCAATGGCTCATGAATTCTAACTTCTACCGATTCGTGATTTAGCGCGACCGCAACCATTGTCGTTGGTGGGATATCCATTCCACAGACGTGACATCTAATTGGACCTTACTGGTCACGACTTCTCACTAGTTTAACTTTGCCTTATTTTTTATTGACTAGTTCACTTATAAAATAAGAATGATCAATAGACAAATTTGTTGTAATACATTAGAATCAGTTGAACTGATAAAACCGCCTAATTGAAATTGGCCTTGGAAATAGATGCACGACGTCATCCATCATAAAGCATATCATGTAGACTGCTCACAAATTTGATTTCAGTAGTACCTATAAGCTTATATATACGAAACATTTGGGTTTTATACTTAAATTTGTCGAAGCTGTAGCTACAAAAAGGAGTACAGTCTTTTTTAATTGCTCAAAAACTGTTCGTAATTATTTTGAACCTGCTTTGATTGTCTAATTTTAAAAACTAGGTTGTTTTAGGGAATAATACTGTGTTGGTGTGATACAGATAATGTGTTCCAACGGAATATTGTTCTCACAGTATTTGTTGATGTTAACGTCCGAATACCATTCCCACAGTCCAATAATACATTAGCAACAGAATGCTTATATATTTGAACATTCTATTTTATGTCGTTTAATGTAAATAAAAATCACACGCTCAGTGATTGGTTAAAGGATATATACCGTATATATATGTAGGAGATTTATAAATGAAAAATATATCTTTGCTTCCGAGTATTGCCTTCTGCTGTTGAACATGGTGTCACTGCCTGTTGACAAATGTAAAGCACAGGGCCTGCAGTTTTTGAAGAAGGAGACATATCGATCTTCTCGGAGGACTTCGGGACTGTTGTGGAGTTGAATGTCATTCAAGATCCGTCAGAGAAGACACTTTTACTTGAAACGATGCTGAGACGTCGAGCGAAGGCAGCCTATGATAGTGTGAGGCGAAACACTGGCGAATATGCATCAGGGTCACGCTAATTTCTTCCAAGTTGGAAGGACCATACACGGTTACAGTGAGACGGGGGCATGTATATACGATCAAAAATGCAAACAAAGAGAAGCGGATGAACGCCAGTGACCTCCGGAACTGGATACAGCAAGGCAGGCAGACAAAGACGTCAGCACCAAGAAGACAGGACCAACGTCAGTCTAAAGTATTTGACGTGGAGACGACTGTGGTGGTGTGATACAGACAATGTGTTCCAACGGAATATTATTCTTACAGTAAGAATCACTGTATATATTGGTGTTAACGTGTGAATACTGCTCCTGCAGTTGAATAGCGCAATAGCAACAGAGAACTATTTGAACGTTCTATTTTGTGTCGTTTAATGTAAACCAAAATCACAAGCTCAGTGATTGGTTAAAGTATATATATATATATATATATATATATATATATATATATATATATATATATATGCTAACAGCTTTATCAAAGTTACCTCGAAAGCAACTCAAAGAATTGAAATCGAATGAAAACCTGATAGTAACTTGACCAGACGAAAGGTTCTGGAATTGTTATGCTCAACAAGTCAGACTATGTGAAGAAACTCTTGTTAATTCTACCTGATGACAACAAATTTCGAAAACAAACGATCCAACTGAACAGACGGAGCTCCAGCTAACCAACTTATTGAATTGTTGTTGTTCAGCGATAACATCCACCATATCTAAATTTCACTTAGGTTGTAGGCATTTATGAATGCATTCAAGAATTTTTTAAAAGGAAACTTGCACCTTCTGTAATGTTAGACTGCATATAAATGGATAAATTTTAACCATTGTTCCTAACTGCCTATCGGAACGTATACTCTAAAACCTATTGGTCTCGGTATGGTCCAATTAAGCCAATATACTACTGTGTGCTCGGATCAAGTTTTATTTTATTTTATTTTTTTTGTAAATCTGTGTATTGTACAAGTTGAAGTAGAACATAGTTAATGGTTTCGAACTCAAATTATTATCATTACTGTTATTATTATTATTTTAGTGACGGAATTGAATTTATTCTTCATCAATATATTTTGTATTGAATATAGGACTAATTTTTCCACCTCATGTAAGTTTCTTCTAATCACTCTTTTAATAATTCTCAAGCCAATGTAATGATAATTTTTGTAACACGTGTTTTATGTACACAGCGTAAAGATCCATGTAAAATGCCTATTGGAAATGTTATAATGGGTGATATTGCATGCAGAGTAAACGATGGTAATAAGTGTATACCAAATAAAGAATATGGTATTTATACATGTCAGTGTACAAAAGCGTATAAAAAACTAGTCAACAATTCAACCTTGTTACCAAGAGAACGTGCAGCAGACAATTGTTTAGTACGAATTGATCCATGCTTAATAAATCCATGTAAACATGGTATTTGTGTGATGGTAGGTTAGCATAAATTTGATCATTATGCATGTAGAGTTATGCAATTAAATTTAACGTGTTTTAATGCTTCTATATTATTTAGCAGATAGATAGATTTCTGTGAATAGGCCTTTATTATTAATAATATTAATATTCCTAGACGTTCATCTCATAAGAAACGCCGACAACTCTCTGAAAAGTTCCATATACAAAAAAGCCTAAATTGAATGGACAATTCATCAACTTTCGTGATGAAAGTTCGTGCCCTAAGCAGAAAGAAGAACCTTATATACTCTCTTCCCTGGAGGATTCGGAAAATATGCAGCGAGGAAGTGATTGACGAAGAACTGCGTGATCTCCAAGGAACCTTGATGGAAAACGATTTTCGCCTAGGTTCATAGACAAGAATCTAAAATCAAAGGAGACTTCCGAACAAGTTCAGTGCGTCCCGAAGAAGATACTTGTGCTTAATCTAGAATTCAAAGTTGACATTGAAGCACAAATCCTTCTGAAACGCCTCAGCAAATCTCTGAGGAAAACATACTTCGCCGCAAGTCGATAACTGACGTTTTCCTGCTAAAAACTGTTCAACCAAAACGTGAAAGACAAGTTGTCGCATTGGGACACTTCAACGTGCATATACCAGTTTACCTGCTCGTGCACACCTAAGTACATTGGTCTTACCATACGCCAACTTTAAAAACGCGCTCGTGAACACCATCCGGCATGGCTAGTAAAAGAAGAACGGAAATGTGTATATAGTTTGGTGACTTTACATCCTATCAGTTCAAGACATTCAGCGCCATTCGAAAAATCCTTCAAAATCATATACAAGATCCGATCAAACCTATCAAAGGGAGTAAATTTAAGACATCTGGGTGCAGCCGAGGTACTAGCCATCCAAAAGCTCAAACCCGAGCTATGCATCCAGAAGAAATACGTCCAACCATTTTCCCTGCTATGGCTATCGTAAACAGGTAATTCTTTTAATAGTGACTATTACATTGCCTTTCTTACCCAAAATTCCTGTTTATTCATGTTATTTTTAAGTTTTTCTTAATCCCTATTTTCATTTCCTAACTCCTGTCTATTTTTTCATTTTCTAATTTCAACATATTTAATCCTTAACTGCATAAAAAACTATTCATCACATTAGTTATGATTCGATGGAGAATTTCATCATGAACTAACATCAGCTAGAGAACCACTGGAAAACCTGGGACTACCGGAAAATTGTTTCGTCCTAGTTTGGACTCTTCACACTACGCACACTTACCGCCAGGGATCTAACTCAGGACCTTCTGGTTACAAGGAGAGCTCGTAGACCATTCAGCCACTGGGACTCGATCCAATGGCCAGTACACGAATTCTAACTTCTACCATTTAACGACATAGTGCGACCATTTCACCATGTCTTCTTCGATGAGTTACTGCCTCATCTTCAACCTGCTGTACCCCAGTGGTCACAGCTTCCCACTAGAGCCCCAGGTCACTGCTTGAATAGGGCCAGTCGCTAGTGAGCATCAGATTAATTTTCAAGTATTGGTTTTTGTAGAAATTTTGTTTGACTGGATGGAGGATTTCATCATGAGCTGAAATTAATTATGATTGCGCTAGATTTGTTATTTAAACATTTGGTCTATTTTGTTATTTCTACATTTCTAACCCCTAATTGCACAATATGTAAGTCTTCTCAATAATGATGATGCTACTTTGTTTTAGTTTTATCCCTTCCTCTGTTTATTATTGTAATTGTAATTTTATTAATTTGACCCTTAACTGAGAGTTATTCTGGAACTTTCCCACCCATTTATTATAAACACACAAACGTCCAACCTAGTTGAAAAAAATTTCCTTTGCTGCGACCGTGTTTCGATTATTTCTTATGATCAAATGTGTATATTCCGCAATAGTAGTAAGAATGATTTTGGTGAAGAGGTGATTCTGGTAGGAGATAAACACATTACAGCCTATTAGACCTACTGAATACTTGCAATCATAACGTGTCATTTGAAATGGAGAGTAGGAAAGGTATTAAAAAATTTAAAAGAGAAAATTTCATTGCACACATAGTGTGCTAAAGAAAAACTATCCAGTTTAGATAGGGAAAGAAAGACAAGATTTGCGGGTTCTCATCAGCTGCAAACTACCTGAAAATATAATGGTTAAAAATAACGACATTTCATACTTCATTGTTTGAAAGGTAATAGAGAAAACATTATAAGATAAATGCATCCGGAATATGAGCATTACAATTTATATGCTATCAAACTACGAAAAAACGGGGTAGTAAGAGAAGACAGAAAACAGCAAAATCTAATAAACAGTATTAGCTTGTACGTCTACATAGCAACTCAAGAAGGTTAAAGTTCATCAAATTAAAAACTTGCTTAGTGAGCTGAGCTTATTAGTGTGTATGACTAATCAATGTAATGAAAGTAATACGGTTACCGAAGGAGTGAGAGATTGAATACACTCTCTTTCTATGTGCATAAGTTTGGTAGGAAATGCCTGATTGCGATTGCTTCAGCAAATCGCAGTAGATTCTCTGTCCTTTGTATGTTTAATATTTTGAAGTATTTGGAAATCTCGACAAAATGACCCGTGTTTCTACTGACGTTTCGCTATTTAATGCTAACAGCTTTATCAAAGTATTATTAAACGAGAATTTACAAAATCTCAACTTATATACAGCAACTTAATCATTGTTCATCAGAATGAGGTAGTAAGCACAACATTAGAGTTTTCCTTAAAACATCAGACACACTGCGAAGAAACCTTATCCATATAAAAGACCGAATCCCTAAAGATTCTCTATTTAATTGTGTCTATAAAATAAAATGCAAGGAATTCAGTGCGATATACATCGGACAAGCATCACGAGAAATCAAAATCAGAAGAAATGAACACCATAGTGCAGCCTCTGTTCGACCACCGAGAAATCCACTTGAACTAGGAAAGCTTGTAAAATCATCAGCCACAGGGAGTCTACACGCTATTGAATCAAGCCACGAAATTGATTTTGACAATATTAAAATTGTCTATCTCGATGTGTCTATTGATTGATGATTCACTGGAATACCAGCCAAGCTTTTAAAAATTCTCTAGCATTCTTGTTGTCTCCTCTGTCTAATATCTGAACGTCGTCCCAGTCGAATTGATGTCTGTGGCTGTTTGTATGCAGTGGTATGAGGGAGTGGATATCATGTCTTTTGACGGCTAGCTTATGTTCGTGGATACGAAGATGAAGGGGACGTCCACTTTGACCAATGTAGTGTTTTTCGCAGTTGTTACAGTTTATTTTGTAGATGATGTTGGTCTTATCTTCTTTAGTTGTTGAGTCTTTTGGTTGACATAGAAGTGAGTGAAGTGACTTTGTGGTTTGTGTACGACGACATTTCTAAAACGTTTGAAGTCTTGTAGTGATTTCTGAGATATCATTCATTTGGGAGAACAAAAACTTTTATTATAATGAATAGCAAATACTCATTGCCCAAATATTTTTAAAACTTAAAAAGTCAACTTTATTCGGACATATATAAATCATTGTAACCTATTTGAAATTGTGACACACTGGTTTAGACACTCCACTTCCACTCGATGGCACACAGCCTTGGACAACCCTCTATTTCTCAGGTGTGGATATTCAGACAGTATTATTAGCCTGCACACAATAAAGATGGATCCTTGTCAAGTGAATACAAGTGACTTATGAGATATATAATAACAACAATAAAATATTACATCTTATTGAGTATTGCTTGCTATTCTGTTCTCATTCATTTTGTGGAAATGACTCAGGAAATATTTTAATTACATAAAAATGACTAAATACTAAAAATGGGGTTATTCTTTCACTAGTATTTGGCCTAGAATTTTCCGTAAACATCCTTCTTAAGCTTTATGAGTAGTAAAGACATATTTCCTCTTGAATAAATTACTTAGTATTATTGAAGTATTACTTTGAAAAATAAAGACTATGGCCACTTTTTGAGTGTATTTTTAGCACATATACGAAGGAAATATACACTAGTTGCTAGTTTGATACAACTTATTTAATGTTATTAGGTACAGACAGCTCTTGTCTATGTATTTGTACCTATTCTTTGTATGTTTAAGAATAATTCGCACAGTAAATCTCCCTTTGAATTTTGTGAGGTAGTTTAAGTCCAAGTTTTACATCATAACTGTATTGAAATTAAACTAACCTTATAAAAATCCATAGCTAGATTGTAGCCTTTATAAATGCATAGTCTCAAAAGTCAAAAGAGATGTCTACTTCATAATCACTAAGCGTAACTATACAAATTAATATGAATTATGGTGAACACTTGAAGTTAATCAGTATGTAACCTTTTATCTAGGCTTCTTGTCGGTACTCAATTGTAAAGCAATATGCCTACCTAATGACATTCATCTACTTTCAGAAAGTTTTACCTGTTTCGTTGAATGCTTCAGCCATATATCTTACTATTAAGCTACTTAGATGAGGTCTCTATTCACCTTGAGAACTCCGTTTTTCAAATTAATTGATTTACAAAATAACTGACATTTTAATCATAAAGGATGGAGACTTGTGCAGTTTTCACTGATTAATTTAAAAAGTTGGTCAGTCGTTAGTAACATTTGTATGTTTAATTTCAGTTCAATATATGTTCTAACAAGTTTCACTCATATTAATTGGTAAATTTACTAGAGCGACTTTGGCTCTATTGAAGAAGAGAAAGCCAAGCGTAAAGGTGTAACATTTTCGTGGTTTGGAAATCAACCACATTTGATAGCCCGTTGCATATGTGATGACGGATGGAGAGGTGAACGATGCACTTTTCCTGTGTCAAAAATGTCTGGTCTTTGTGGTCATCTTGGTCATTTTGTGAGCCCTCATGTCAGTCATCATTCACAGAAGTTCCTCCAAATTATGTTCCGGAGAATTGGAAATACGGAGCAGGTACTGGCAGATGGGGAATGAGACAACGTAGCCGATACAGAGATTGTTTAAGTAAAGCTTCTGACTGCAATGAAGAAATCGATCGTATCGCTGGTTTTCGGGGATTCATCAATAAAACTGAATCTATTTGGCGTCAGTATGAATACCGGGGATGTAGACCTCGACCGTGTGATCGTCACCTCTATTTGGCTTCCGGAACTCGAGCTCTGCAAAGATCGCAACTTTCAGGACAAGTGGTACGTTTATTTCTGACTAGTCTTTCGGACCATTACATTTATGAAAGTGTTGACTCTTCAGGTTTGATATACGATTATGTAAGATTCACTAGCAAAAGACATTTAGACCCTTTTTGTTACATTTTAAATGGCATTGTTTATTAAATGCAAGATTATAATTTCAAGTCTTATGGTTTTTCCTCAGAACTGCCTAACTAAGTAAAACTTATTTAATTGAATTTGACATTTTCCTGTAGATTGATGGGACCAAAGTGCTCGGTCTCAGGTTGACATGTCGGCTTCTTGTGCAGATGCTTCGACGATGTCTGGGCATGTAATAAGAACTTAATTTGTGGATGGTGACTAGCAGTGGAATCCAGTATGCGCGTTTCATCCTATTTGGGACTCATTATCTGGATATACCTGCATTCCCCAGTGAGTGATGATATTCCTACTGACATGTCATCCTGAGACCAGGCACTTCGGTCCAATCAATAGACGGGGAAATCTAAAATTCAGTTAAATAATTAATAAGACCCTGTGCACAAGAGGCGGTTCTCGTGGCCCAGGTGGTCTAGTGCATGGGGTTTTGGCGTCTGAAACTATGGACTCTAGGTTCGAGCCTGGGTGTGAACATCACTCACTGGGTATGGCAGGTACATCCAGATGACGAGTCCCGAATGAGGCGAAATTCACATACTGGATTCCACTGCTAGTCACCATCCTTCAATTAGATTCTAAGTAAAACTTAGCTGAAAAAGCCCTGGTTTCGAGACAAAAAAATATGTATTGAAAAATATAAGATGTATGAGTATCAGATGCTGCTAAAGTACTCGACGTACTTCGTATACACACCACTCAGATTTACAGGTAGTTGTTGTCAACTTACTCAGTAATTCTTTTCTTTTTACTTACATTGAGGGATCCTAATCTCTTGACCATAGTCTTCTCATTCGTAATTTCATTCCTAATCGACTTGCTTAAATTAGTTTGGTTCAGAAACGTGCGTTGTACAGTTATTGTCTCTAATTATTATAGGTTTTTATTACTGGATATTTTTCGCGTTTTTTTTTCAAAGTCATGCCGTAATACTTTTGATACTGAAAGTTGTGAATACAATTAGACTGTTCCCTACATACGAAGCTTAGCACTACTTCTAAATCAATAAAGACATTGTCCTTTAAAGTATTTGGTGCCTCAAATGATAGTAATGAGAAACCGAGACTTTCGGTTTAGTCGGCCTGTAAGTAAACTTATCACTTCGATAATCAGCATATCTGTAATCTAGTGACACGGTAGCAGATTCCATCTATTCCATACTATCTGATGTAACTAGAACTTTCTGATATGTAATATAAGGTCCTTTCATGCCTGTTTTTCTCATAACCTTTTTTTGGATGTTTTATTTCCAATTTAAATAACTTTCTGAAATATAGCAGTACTGTGACTTCTGAAGTGTTAGCAGCGATTACAATGCAGTGCAGTTTACTTGACAGTTATGCTGTAGAAGTGTCAAATTAGATATTCTTGGTGCTAAGAACTTGACTGAATATCAAAGTTTAGAAGTTGAATAACAAGAAGTCATAAATTTAAGAGTTTTGCATAGTGATATTTTACTAAACAAGGCAAATTCACGGTCATGGAGAAATTGGTTCTTCCTGAAATGTAAAATTACGGTCACTGAGGACCGAAATTCACAGGAAGTATACTATACAACTTGTAGGTTCTCTGGTAGAGTTAAACAATATGGCATGATTCGTCTACTTGTAGAAAACAGTATGTCGTTGTCACTTTTACTGTCGTTATTACTATAACACTACTTGATACTTACAGGAAACGTCATCTTGTATTATCGTATTGGTTTTTTCCTGGTATCGAACCAGTTAGTGCTAGACACTTATTTGATTCAACTAGTCGTTATTTCCAAACAAGGTTATAAACACGTGGCAGTTCAAGTAGATACTAACTTAGATGAATAATGAGTTTCACTACTAGTGTGGTGAGAGCAGGCTGCTAGCCAATTGGTAGACATTAATCTACGTCAATGTCTAGATCACTAAGATTGGCCGTGAGAAAATATGAACAAGGCTGATTAAACAACCAATCACAGTAGACTTAACGTGGGCAAATATGATTCGCAGATAGATGGCTCCATTTTCCGAGGTTACCCGAAACAACCAATCAGAAGACTGCGTTTGTCTACTTGAATAAGCTATAATAATGTACAGGAAATATATATAAATACGTGTTTATTTCCGTAATAAAACGATCTGTTGCCGGACCTTGTCTTCTGTTGTTACACTAGGAAAGCTTACTTTGAATAACTGGATTTTAAAAGGCATCATCAAAAACTACATTCGCCAAAGATGTCATATATAACATTAGGGAAAAACATCACAGAATATCTGTTAAGGGACTGATGCTTGCTATTAAGCAGAGATCCATCCTTTTATGGGTTCAGTAATAATTCAAATAGCTCGCTAACAGTATAAAGTTTGTCTATGGTTAGGTTTAGAATCAGTGTTAGGTAGGGATTAAGGCTTATAATTAATCAGATGTTATGTTTATGGTTACAATTAGGGTTAACGCTAGGATTTGCTTTAGACTATGTTTTAGAGTCAGAGTTAAAGAATTACTATCATATTCAACATCCATTTACTAGAAGCTAAGTTTTACCACGTTTTAATTGTTGTTATGCTGACCAAACGCACTTTTAGTGATTTACTCATCAAAGTAGATTTTTAAAATCAGTAATGTCTTCTCTTGATAGAATTATTCCGATTGGGTTTTTAAAGTTGTTTTTTTCAGGTCGTATAAAACACACATAAGGACATTAGAAAGAAAAGAACACGAAGTTCACCAAAGATATCTTTTCGGTGATTTCATTTTCATAATTTGTACAATCGCATTTATATTATTATTTATTATTATATTATTGCTCCTTTGGGTTCCTAGTGGAACATAGGGCTTCAGCTGCACGTCTCCACTTGCATCTATGTTAGTCCATACTCTTTCAACTCCTCTTCACACGATCTCCTCCATGTCACCCTTGGACGTCCCACTCGCCGCTTCCGTTTCGGGTCCTACTCAAGGGCTTGACGCGCGACGTCACCCAGTGGTCTCCTCAGCGAGTGTCCAATCCATCTCCACTTTCGCCTGCATATTTGTTGGCCATTTAAATACATAATTTTACATAGATACAATACTTGTTTGATTCCACATAATTACGACGGCGAATAAAAGACGACAGTTATTTTCAACTAAATCTGGTTTGAATATTTGAATAAAGCGAGAACAACATTGATTTGTGCAGAATAACATGGTACCATCATTTATTTCGTTGGCTTCTCGTCAGCTGCTTACAGCCTAAATAAATTTTCAGGTTTAAGTACAGAAACGTTTTAACGTACTTGCAAATTTTACATGTTGACAGAAAGTTTCACAACTAGTAAACAGTGCTCAGAAAATTGCGCTTATATAGTTTTTACACAGGCAGTTCAAGTTTACGAGTGGCTTAGAAACGAAATTAACACAGGGTTAGAACGGATAACAAGTGTGGAAAAAATGAGCATGGAAACAAAATTGAAATAATAATTTTCAGCTTGAAATGGAAGTTAGTAGGTGTGAATATAGATTACAAGAGGAGATCTTATTCCTCAAAAATATCCTGGCTCAAAGTGGTTACCCGACACGTTTTGTCGAAAGGAACATGAAACCTAAACCAAAAAGAGAAAAATGCGATTTAGCGCCAAAGAAAATGCTGTATCTAAATTTGAATTTCAGGGGAGATTTGGCAGCCGGTATCCTGAAGAAGAGAATATCCAGCTCTCTAAAGAAGACCTTCTCTGCAGCAACACTAAGAGCGACATTCTGTAGCTGTCCAGTACTTCTAAACAACGCGAAGGGCAAAATTTAATGTGTATATAACAGTTCACCTACTCGTGCGGAGCAAGGTACATAGGTCGTTGTATGTGTGTCCTTTCGGAATGTGTTACAGAACATTACGCAACGTGGCTGCAAACAGGAGGCACCGATTCACTCAGAAGTGCCATTACTGAACATCTGATCAACACATCCCACAACATTTCAACTGATTCTTTCCAAGTAATTTACAAAGTCAACAGAAGCCTACCAAAAGCAGTATGTTTCCGACTTCTCTGTACTTCAGAAGCCCTCGAAATATTCATTGAGAAGCCGGAGCTGTGTGTTCAAAAGAAATTAGTCCAACCTCTACAACTACCATGGACCTAGCTCGGTATGTTCCCTTAGCTTCCGTTTTTTCTCTTCTTTCGTCCTCTATGTGTGTGATTCTTACTCTCCGTGTCTTCAATCGATTCACTCCATTCTTTTTCAGTTATGAAAACAGTTATTTTAAGTTTGTTTCCATGCTTTTCTGCTCACATTTATAATTGGTTTAAAATAACTACCTTACAATTATATCTTAATCCTGTGCAACTTTTGTTTTTCTAAGGCTCTTGTAATCTATATTCACACCTACTAACTTCCATTTCAAGCTGAAAATTATTATTTCAATTTTGTTTCCATGCTCATTTTTTCCACACTTGTTATCCGTTCTAACCCTGTGTTAATTTCGTTTCTAAGCCACTCGTAAACCAGATTTAGTTGAAAATAACTGTCGTCTTTTATTCGCCGTCGTAATTATGTGGAATCAAACAAGTACTGTATCCATGTAAAATTACATATTTAAATACGATTGTTTGTTTTTATCTATATTCCTAACAACTGTTAAAAAGTTAATACAGACTTCTTCAAAAGCGTTGACTCCTATTGCTGAGGTGAACCAGCATGCATGAAATGCAGGTTCGCATTTTCGTTTTCACTGTTTTCTCTTGATTTCAGATCTCAGAATATAAGTTAACTACACACCACAGTAATGTTGCACTAGTCAGTCTAATAATCTGCAGCATACACTTATTCAATAGACACCGATCAATACACTTTATACTTAGTAGCTACGTTTTTTATCATGTGGTATATTGTACAAATTATCTGAAAACTGTTATTATCTGGTCATAGTCAACTAGTCATGAAGTTACAAAGTTGTAAATTATGCGTGAAGTGTATACTTTAATGCAAACACCTTCCTTTTTGTTTTTATTGTAGGAGGAAATTTTGTATCAGTCACATACTGTTCTAATTTGGACAATGTTAACATTTACATTTATTTTTGCCATGTTTGCATTTCTAGCTACATTTGTAACCAAATTATTTAGTGAACGTATAAACCGTGATAAGACATAGAGTTCCAGAGATTTTTATATCTTGAACTACAATATTTATATACTGTTGTAACATACATTGTTTATGCTTCAGTGCCACCTTTACGCCTTATATTTTTTGTTGGCATAGACTTAATCTGAATCTTTGTTGTTCTACACTTTTCGCTTGCATTATAACTTCTGTTAAATATTAAAAAAGATGTTGCCAAATAGTGAATAAACGTTTTGAACGAAGCTTGTAGTCTGTGCATGAAGCCTTTTAATGAAGTTTGTATATTAGTAAGGATGTCAGTCGTATATCAATACTTCCATTTAGCTGTACATTGGAGATTCAGTCCTGCTTCAAATGAATAAACAGACTGTGAAACAAAGTGACTCATACTCCGATGTGAGAGAAGAACGTATAGTGGTACAAGATTGAAGGTGGATTTTAAATTTTAGGATGACCTCCTCTCAAATGGTCGGTTCCAGAGGGAAAACATATAGTATGAGTTAGCAACCTGGTACTTAATTTAGAAACGCAACGCTAATATGATTTCACCCTCCAACAGCTAACGCGACTTCAGGAATCTAATCTATCCAAACACTTTTTACAAGAGAGAAAAGAGAGTCCTTAGACTCTGGTGGGATGGAATGGGTGGTGTTTTTATTTCGGTTTCATGGTATGCAATTTGTTGAAACTGGGGTGTTACTGTGATCGGAGTTTGTCCTTTCTCCCATCTGCCACCCAATGTGGTTGAAAAGCGAAGCAATAATAAAAGAAAAACCAATACAATAATAGCAAACATTTCAGTATAAAACAAATCGATAACTGGATTGAATATTGGTAAATGAACGAATAAGCAGATGACTGAAACGATAAGGTCAGTGCGGGGATCATGGACGAGTTTAGTTTGCAACCGACTGATAGATTATGGTACATGAATGTTAACTCTCATTTTGATCTAGGAGAGGTCGATTTGGGTACGGCTTGCATGATTTCACAGTCTGTGCTTAGACTTTCCCAAGAAAGGTGTCGTAGCCATGACCGCTGGGAAGAAGTTCCAGTTCAAATAGAATAGGAATGGAAGTCTACTTCAGTTTTTCCTTCCTCAAAAAAAGCTTCTTCGTTCCCCATGGTTGAGTCCGTAATTATCTGGTAGTATGATGACTTTGTTTGGCTGGCACTGATCATTTACACTGTTGTAATAGACGCTTATATCACCTTAGCCCGGTTAGAGCCGAGTGTAAATAGTTGTTATATCCTATTACTGTTCACCATCTACTTGCGGATATGAGTAATGAATGTAAGTCCCAAGTGTAGTCTAAGTCAAAACTCCCCATTTCAGGTTACTTTTCTATGCCTAGGACAACATCGCAAAGCTTATATTAGGGCTCTCCAGTCTCAAACTTGTCTTCCGAGTAAAGTACTATCTCAGTATCTACAATGCTTTATTCAGAATACACCACACCAACCTTGCTCCGAAATAGTTCCAGAAAGGAAACAAATTTCTCCACCCAAACTAAAGTCAGTGATACTGTGGTAATTGACAATTTCTATCTCTGTATTGTTTAAATACTTACTGTTGATTGTTAATATGTTTCTTATATGAATTGCAATATAATTCCGCTAAATACAAATTTCTGAATTCCGCCCTCGATGCGTGGTGCATTTCCAAGAATGTTCGGGATGACAAAATACCAGCACACTTCATCACTGCTATTGGTCTAGATGCGTATAGCCTAGTGAAGACTCTGTCGTTTCCAGATAAACCAATTTCTCTGCCATATTATAAACTCCGTGAACTTCTGGTAGATCACTTCCATATAATTACTTTTGAGACGCGAGAGAGGGCTCAATTCAACAAACTGGTTCGTGCTCCCAACCAGAAGATTAGAGAATTCATTTTCAACTCCAAATACAAGCTTCAAAGTGTAACTTTGGAGATCAGCTGCACACACAAATACGTAATCGTCTAACTGCTAGAATCAATATTCCTAAGTTAGAGAAAGAGTTAATTCATATTCCTTCTTGTACCTTTCAAACTGCTAAAGATTTATGTATTACATATGAAGATGTCAATAATGAATACTCTGCTCCCACTACGTCAGTATCTGATGTCATGCTTTCTAAAGTCGAAAATACAAGTGGTCATGGAAAGCAATCCAAACTGCCGTCCACAGGTAATAGAATGCAGCGAGAGATCAAAAACATTAAACCGTGTTTTTCCTGTGGAAAGTTATATCTACGAAGCACTTGCCGTTTTCGGGATGCTAAGTGCCATAAATGTGGTAAAGTTGGACACATCAAGACTGTTTTCAGAAGTTCGAATACTTATGTTTCTCAACATTCTTATAATTCTTCCAATCTGTCTAGTAAAATGGAATCAATGTGTCTTTCAACTTTTCAAAATACTCAATCTCATCCAATGAAAACCTCCACTACAAGTTCAGCAACTCAAGCGTCAACTGTTTCCAAAAATGAGGTAGCCGAGTTACAATGCGAACTGTCGAAAACACGAGAAGAACCGAATGAGCTGAGAGAGCAACTGATTAAAATGGAGGAATTGTTGCATATGCATAGACTGCGTCTGTTGAATGCAGAGCATACAAGTACCCGTGAAAGTCCTGCAAAACTTTTCAAATCTCGAATTCTCAAAAAGCATCTGATGTCCACGACTTCTAATGTACATTATTACAAAGGGAATGACTGCAGACCTTCTGTTGGAATCATAATACAAGAAATGGGAAATCGAGTGGTGAAGATATTAGACATCAAAAATCACTCAGTTCATAACGGACACCTGGACAAAGTGACAATAAATGAAGTAGGTCGTTCCAATTATAATATTATTGATTCCGCTACTAATCCTGATTTTGTAGATAATTCAGAAATAAGTCCAGATAACAGTGATGAGAATAATATCACAGAATCAGTTAGAAGGTCGAAGCTACTTGCAAGCAAACCGAGACATTGTTATAAATACGCAAGGAGATATTCAACGTGTGGCGGATGTGGTGATTGACAATTTCTATCTCTGTATTGTTTAAGTACTTACTGTTGACTGTTGATATGTTTCTTATATGAATTGCAATATAATTCCGCTAAATACAAATTCCTGAATTCCGCCCTCTCTGTGTTTTGATTGGATTCGTGTATTTCGGTCATCTCGAAATACTAATGTTACGATTACAATAAATTACTACTGATACCTTCCCTCTTTTTCCTTGCTTAGGACCAGCTGGTAGACTAGGCAAGGTCGATTGCACGTACTTTTCGCGTATGTATTCCTCAAAATCGCTGTCCGTGGCTTGGTACGTCGGTCCAAAATGCCGTATAGACTCAGTTGTACTAGTTTGGCTACGAGTGGGAAGCCTAGCTCACACAGTCTACAGATTGACGGCACCAAGACTCAATCAGAAGATAACTGCTAACGTTTTAGTGGTCAGTCTGAACCATATGAAATTAAAATCCTTTAAGACAGTAGCTAAACTAAAACATCCAGAAGCATGTAATGTTCCTTGGAGTTAGTCTCCTGTTCTTACGCCGTTGGTAATCACCTGAGAACATACCGCAGAAACCGCCTACAAAATCCTGTCATCCAGCGGAAGTACTTTTCAGCAACAAACAGATATAGGACAGATGGTTGGAGACGGTTTGTGATGATATACTATTGGAAAAGAATCCATCCGATTAGTAACCAGTGTGAAGCCTTTTGTTGAAGACTCGGATTAGTTAACCTAAAAGCTGAATTATGCGGGGCATACAATAGAAATATGCCACTTAACAGAACCCTATGAAGTCTGTCTAACAGACAAAAATAGTCTCATTGTTATTACAAATGTTGGTGTCTGAGAGAACTTAAGACACGAGAATGAAATTTGGCAAACTGTGAGACACAAGAAGGCATCTTACGAAGCCTAAAACGGGGTCGAAACAATAGCCATGGTCCTACAGTGTATTGCACAACTAGCAAATTTCGATGCATGTTACAGGTACTTGTTGTGTTGGAAGCGGCTTTTCACATAGTCGGAACTGATGAAGGCCACGGAAACGAGCATCTTCAGGTTTCCTCGCCATCTTCTTCTGTACACCATTCGGACTAAATTTATGGCAGTAGACTTTGGAAGTACAGACACGTTGAACGATGTTCTTAGGATAAATTGTGGTAGGAATGTAGTATGCCAGGGTAACGGGATCATGTAAATTTCCATCCAACCGAATACATTTTGTTTTCCTCATTCTTATTGTATTGCTGGTTCTGATAGCGTTATTAGAAGACGGAGACTATCTGAAAAATGTGATGTATTAGCGCTATACATTTCGAACGATCTGATCACACATTTACTTGTCAAGTCAATATATATAGAAAGGTTAAATTAAACAAAGTGAGAGAAAACCGAATTAAGAATAATTAACACAAACGTTTGGTAATCCAATCAAATAAGGATTACCAAGGTAGGTTAAGAGTAATGACAAACTGTTTTCGAACACACAAGGAGGGGGGCTTAAGTCTGTGAATAGCTATAGCCTCAGCGTATTTCAGTAAACGCCCTTGACCGTTTTTATAGATGACCTTAAAGGCTGAGTTAACATCAATCTTATGGTTCATCTCGATTAGATGTTTAGCTATAGACGAGTTTGGTAGTCTGCCACCTGCATCTATTAGCTTGTCACAATTCATCTGTTTTTCTAACCATTTTGGGATATGCTCTCCCACCCTCACGTGCAAAGCGCGATTACTCCTCCCTATGTATGTATGTCCACACACACACGAAAATTGGTAAATTGCATGGGATGTGATATAATCACTTGGGGTTTACAGTGAAGCATATTTTTGGCTTTTTCCACAATTACAAGCTGGGCTGCATAGTAGGTTCTACGGATGATTGAATTCAACCTTTGTCTCAAAATCCTACTGTTTATTTCCCCCTTATATGGTAATTTGATAAAAACCTTTTTCTTAGGGACGGTATGGAATGTAGGTTTAGAGGCTAGTTGACTTCTACACCTGTTTAAAAATTTCAAAGGATATCCGTTTT